GCCAGGTCTTGAACGCGTGGACGATCGCCAACATTTCCTTGTCGTGTACTGTATAATTTTTCTCTCCCCCCTGCAGCTTCCGTGATTCGTAGGCGTCCGGCTGTAACCCTTCGACAAAGTCCTGTAGAAGAATTGCGTCGATGGCGATGTCGCTAGCGTCGGTGATGACTTCGTCTGGACGGTCAGGATCGAAGATGCGAAGGAGGGCGGCGACGTGAGGGTGATCTTCATTTGGTCAAATGCAGCCTGTTGCTTCTCTCCCCACCAAAAACAATCGTGATCTTTGAGTCAGTCGGTTAGCGGGGCAGATAACCTAGCCATATTGGGGATAAACCGGTGGACATAATTGACGAAGCCCAGAAAACTCTGCAGCTCCTTGACGTTGCGGGGTGGCTTCCATTCCTGTATGGTCTTGATTTTCTTGGGGTCGATTTTCACTTCTTTGGTAGGGACAATGTGGCCAAGAAATTCCAACTCCTGCTTAAGAAAGTCGCACTTAGACCCTTTGGTGATGAGTCAGTTCTTGTGTAGCAGTGTGAAGACTGCATGAAGATCCTTTAACTGCTGCTCCCTGCTGTGGCTGTAGATTAATATATCGTTGAAGTAGATGATGACGCATTTGTCCAAGAGTTCCCTGAAAAATTCCGTTCATGGTCATTTGGAAGGTCGATGGCGTGTTCGTGAGGCCAAGAGGCATCACCGGGTACATCGTAGCTGCCCTATCGCGTTCAGAATGCCGTCTTGTGACAATCTTCGGCGGCAACGCAAATCTGATGGTAACCTCATCGCAAATCAATCTTCGAGAAAAATCTGGCGCTGCGAAGTTGGTCTAGAAGTTCGTCGGCTCGCGGGATCGGGTAACGCGACTTGATGGTGATCCGATTGAGCGTTCGGTAGTCAATGCACATTCTGAATCCTCCATCCTTCTTCGGCGTGAACAGTATCGGGGCGACGTATGGTGATGTTCTGGGCCACATGAAACCTTTCGTGAGAAGGTAATCCAGTTGCTTGTGTAATTCTTCCAGTTCCGGTTGGCTGAGCCGAAATTGGCGCTGCGCCATCGGTTGGGCGCCTGGTTCCAACTTGATACGGTGGTCCTCAGGTCGGCTCGGCAGGAGTCCAGCAAGCAGATCGTCTGGAAAAATCTCCTGGTATTTCTGAAGCGGGTACGCTAAGTCCGGAGGGACGGCCTTGCACAGCTTCGCAATATCTTCATTCTCGACCGTCGATGTCACCACTCGAAGATCAACGGCGTATGCTGTAGCTCCAGCCTTCATCACGCGCTTGAAGGTGTTCGCGTGGACTTGGATGCTTTGCATGCGAGGCCCCGTCAACTTGGGCAGCTCGCGGGAAATTCCATCGAGTTTGATGCTGCAGCCACCCGTCGTCCAGTCAATCTTCGGGTTGTACCGTCGCAACCAATCACGTCCCAACAGCACATCACACCCATCAAGAGTCGTCGCCAGTAGCCCCATGCAAAATTTTACGTGCTCTTTATAGGTAAAATTGATGTTCTCCATCCGCACTCGTATTGCCAGCGGCGTGCCATCCACCAGTCGAGCATCAATTTCAGGTAAACACTTGAGGAAGGGTATACCCAATTTTTTAGCCCCGTCCAGTTGTATGAGACAGTGACTCGCGCCTCCATCAACGAATATCTTTAGTAACACCCCGTGGACTTTACCCTCCACCAACACAGGGTGATCAGCAGTTTCGTTCCCCTCATGCGTCCACGTCCGGTCGATTGCAGCAATCGGGATCACGACCCGGTGGGACTGTGTGGTTCGAGCGAAGAAGCCTGCCCGTCAGTAAGGGGCCTGGTACTTACTGACGCACCCATTTCCCGGTCGCTCCTCCGGCTTCGTCTCCATAGAATTCTGGAGGGCTATGAATTCTTGGCAGTTGCGTCGGATGTGACCCGGCCAGCCACAGTGGTAGCATAGCCTCGTATTTCGCGGAGCAACTGCGTAAATACCCACTGCGTCCACCCCTTCTATCGTGGCGCGCTGGTACTGTTCTCGAGGGCAGCCTCCCGTCGTAGAAGTTCGTCCTCGGCTTCGTGATCGAATTAGCGGCTTCGGCGAGCTGGATGTAGTCTTGTAACCGTTTCGCAGGGCATTGCGGTTTTATCTGGTACTGTATTTCAGGCTTCAAGCCGCCCATGTACCTGTCAACCTTCTCCAACTCGTCCATGTAGCTACATCTGTCCACCAACTTCAAGAACGACGCGGTGTACTCGGACACAGATCCCAGCTGCTTCCACATGCGTAGAGTTTCGCGTGCCTTGTCTGAGTCAGGTGCATGCTCAAACCGCTTGCGAAGCTCTGCGCAACACGTTGCCCACGTGCGAATATGGGTCGCCCCGAACAACAGGTCTGCCTCGTCTTCGTCATCGAATTCTTCTGACCACACGCGTTGTCCTTCTGTGCTAATTGCCGCTGAGTCGTCGATGACCTTCCACCATTGTAGGGCGGCCCCTTGCAACAGTGTTAACGCGTGGCTGATCCGTTTCTGGTCATCTATGATGCCCACCGTATTCAAATAGATATTCATGGCGAATATCCACTGCCGCACTGTCACGCCTTTATTAGCTGAGTCGAAAAGAGGGGGTTGCTGATATCTTACACCGGCACTTGTCGAGCGCGGGGCTGTTGCCGCTAGTCGTGCCAGCTCCACTGGCGACGCTTGCTGCTCACCCGCCTCGCTTTGTGCACCGTCGTCAAGCTCCTCTGGACGCTTCTCCTGTGCCTGGCGAAGTCGCTGGTTCTCGTCGCGGAGGTCGTTGACGACGCTTGTCAAATTCTTCAACTACTCCATTAATGCTTGTAGGTCCACAGTTTCCCGGGCAGGGTTCACAGCAGCCGAGGTGGACTGTCCCTCAACTGTCGAGTCTACCGGGGCCATGGCGGTCAGGACGGGGCAGAAGGTAGCGCACACACTGTAGTTGTTGACGTAAAAGCATTTACGATCCAAGACAGCTGCTGTGCAGCCGTGCTAACCCCCTCTGATCACCCTTAACTAAGTAGACGAGAAAATGGAAGGTTCCTGGAAAGGTCGGGCTCTGATACCAGCTGTTATGATATAGAAAGTGTCCATGAAATATAACGTGTGAATACAATATCGCTATTGCAATGAAGGAACGAGGTTATATAGGGGTTGGCGTGCTAGGACGATAACCTCGGAACGTGTGTAGGTTAGGCAATGTGGCGACAGTGCTGGACGCGACGTGGGAAAGGATTGGGCCGACAAATGAGACCGAACGTGACGAATCGAGGAGTTCGGGTGTGCGCGCTAACGTACGACTCGGTAAGGAATGGAAATTCCTTACATTATCGCTCAGCGAATCTCAATGTATCATGTACTGTAATCAGGGCAACAGGACCCATGGCAAAGTGGCCAGGACGAGGTGATCACACCCATGCCCAGATAGACGAGACAATTTGCATGTAACTCGAACCAAGCAGCGAACATGAAGAGTAGAGATTCCGATTTCAGCACAAGGCGGCTTTCAAATATTTTGTGGAAGATGGGGTGGGGTGGGTTGGGGTAAGATGAGGTGAGTTTGGGCTCGGTTAGGGTGAGTTGGGGAGAGGTTGGGGTTTTGTGCATTCTAGATTCTCCCATCAACCCAACATAAGGGCGGGTTTCTAGAAGGTGTCATCCCGAGAAAGTGTCATCCGAGAAATGTTGGAAACCCATCGCAACCGTTGAAGTTTTGAAATAACGGTTGCGATGGGTTTCCAGCATTCTCGGATGACACTCGGGTTGACACCTCCTAGAAACAGCCCTAAATCACAAACCAGTGTGGGCCTGAGGGCGTGTCCAGAGCGTTCGTTTACTATTCACTTTGCATATTAGGTACGAAATTTCGACCTGGTAACCCGAAATCTCCTGTCCATTCAGACACGCACGATAAATTGACGGTTTTGGCGGACACCCTCCAAACGTGCCCACAGACGTGGGCCACACGTTTCCGAACCGAATGAAAATCGTGCCCAAATTATGTACACGGCAGAAACGTCCAAATCCTGGCTGGCGAAAAATTGAACGCTTACACTCGCCAGGCTTTTGTGACGCTTGCGAAGCACGGCGAAAAAAGCGGAAGAATATTTGGAATTGCATGCGCGACTCGCGAAAGCGGGTGAGGCCTCTTTCCCGGGGCGAAATTCGGTTTCCCTGCTGTTTTCGCGTGTCAGTCTGATATGTGCGCTCTGCGCACCCGCTCATTTGTCGAGCCACGGACGGGGCTCGTGTCCGCGCGTTTTGCTGTTGATACTGTAGGTGTACCTCAACACATTCACACTTGGCGACTCAATATTTCGGGGTGCAAAAAAAACGTCAAAATGTCGTGTTGGGACAAAATGAACGCGCTGGACATGCCCTGAGGCAGGGGGTGGGCTTGGTGTGTGTCTGTTTGTGGCGGGGGGAGGAGGGGGATGGCGTGAAGGAAATGTTGACCCGGCAGAAATCACAAGCGAGCGGGAGAGGGTACTCGCTGGGGAGGAGGACTGCGGGGGCTGCTGGCGAATGTTGACACGGAACTGCCAGTGGGATGGGTTGAGGAGGCGCTCGGTTTGGGGAGGGTACGCGACAATGGCCTCGGCCCGGGGGAGGCTCCGAACGAACTCGTTGGCTCGGCCTCTTGGCTTGATTCGCCAAAAGGTATCCCCGTTCGTCTGAACCCTCCCCGATAGGTTCGGATGGGAGCAATTCGACTTCTGTCAGCTCACAAGATTTCCTGGGCCAGGTAACAAACAGGCCTCAGAAACACCTCCCTACTGAATAAACTGGAATTTGCAATAACGGGTGCTATTGGCTGTTAGGGCAACCAAGCCTTTGTAAACGCTACCATACCCAACCACTCTAGATTGATATTTGATCTTTCTGACCCGAAAGGCACCTCACCCAACCGCAATCGAACATCTGGTTGGGACTCGCCCTCACAACATTGCCCGTCTTCACAGTCGGAATATATATTTTGGGTCTCCAACTAGGAGGCAGGAGATTAGTCCGGACGGCATTCGGAGAGGAGAGCGTACATGGACCAATGACATGGAGTAAAGAGCAGCATCGTTCGACCGAATCATAGATCTACCTTTCTCCTGTAGCGATATCTTCCCGGATTGTTGCGATTATAGAAAGGCAGCCATGGCTCATGCAAGGCCCAATCTTTCCGCCAAGTTCAGTCTGCTCCTCAGCAAGCTTTACCGCCTTCCCTGGTCGCAAAAGCGACGCGTGTTAGCCGCATTGGCTGTCGCGGGTGTCATACTTACGACTATATTGCTACTTCCGTTAGCGTTCGTCACGGATTCTGGTGCGCGACGCGACGCTAATATTTTCGCATATCCGTTACAGGCGCCGAATCGTCCGCCGCTTCGCACACAGGAATGCAGCCTCTTAGCGCAGGCAGGCTCCGAGCGAGCCATCGCCGCGATAGAGCGATGGGAACGCTTAGCGAGGACATCTATAACGGGGTTTCCCGCGCGCGACGGCTGCTCTGTGGAGTACACGTCAGCAGCTGACCTGTCCTCCGCTACCGGCGCTCAAGACTTCAAGCATTCCAAGTGTGCGATCGAGTGGGTGACTGTATCGAAAGGGCCTGCATCGGGAGGAGCGGCTCCTGGTAAATGCACGGAGAATCTCCATCGGCTCGTAGACTCGTGCAACATGAACGACATCCCCCTCTCCATCTTCGGCCTCCATCCATCCACCTCTCCGGCATCTTCGCCCCTCCGTCCTCCTCCCGGCGCTCCTGAACCCTCCTGGATTAATCTCCTCTTTAAGTACCTCCAGGTCGTGCCGCCGGACCGCATTGTAGCCGTTTCGGACTCTGACAACGTGGTGATGCTGCCCAGCAGACACTGCAAGGAGGAGCACCTCCTCTCGTCCTTCCTTTCGTTACAGTCACCTGTGGTCTTCGCAGCCAATGACCGCTGCTTCTCCTCACCTTCCACCTCCTCCTCCTCCTCCTCCTCCCGCTCTTCCGTTTCCTCGTTCTTCTACACGCCGCATCTGGCGGAAGGCACGCCAAACCGGTTCCTTAACTCGGGGATGTTTATCGGGTATGCATGGGCGCTGCTGCGAGTGCTGGAAGTGGTGGTCGGGAGCACCCAGGGCTCTCTTGTCCCCACTGCTGCTGCTGCTGCTGCAGGACTTGCAGGCACTGACGCCGATGTGCAGCGTCAGCTACTGCTTGCTTACTTGGCCCAAGAAAACATCTTCTCCTCCCTCCCACGCCTCCCTACGGATTTTCCTTCTGCTAACGAGGCTGGTAATAGCGAGGGGGGTGCAGATCCTGCGATTGGGTCAGGAGGGGCAGACAGCGCAGGGAGGGAAGGTGGGGGGGCCATAGCACAGGACTCCACTCCACCCATCACCTTCGCCTCGACTGTGCTAGACAGCCTCTTCCTTCCCAGTTCCTCCGATCCGTCCCAGTCGTCTTCCTCGCTCTCCTCCTCCCCATCCGCATCAGCAGCATCAGCTGTGTGTAGCGCCTCTGTTTCTTCTCCCGCACACAATCCCTCCTCCTCTCGCCCGTTCATCTCTCTCGACCACCACAACTCGCTCTTCCAAGTGCTGGGAGCACCCAGGGCCGCAGCAGTAGCAGCAGGGGGAGGGGCAGGAGAAGGGGGGGTGACAGCCGGAGGGAAAGAAGTGGAGGTGCAGGTGGATGGGGAGGACGTGCGAGTGAAAGCCGAGGGCACGGGAGGGGAGGCGTGTGCGTTTCAGCAGGAGGATTGGGTGGGTGGAGGAGGGGAGGGGGTGGAGCTGGGTGCTGTGAGGTTGATTAAGGATGCTGGGATTGATCGAATGAGGAAGGAGAGGGGGTACATTGCATAGGCACCCATGGCCTGGAGGGTTTTTTTTGTGAGGTGAATTTTTATCAAGGTTTTAGGTTTGAGGGGATGGAGTGTAGCTTGATTAGAGACTAACTGGATGCGTTCATGGTGTCTGTTTTGGAACACATGATGAGGTTTGCTTGCTACTTTCATCAACAAACCAACGCAATGGACTTGTGTGGACGAGCAGCGGGGAAAACTCTTAATCATTCTAGCCCACAGCCCACAAACACTAGTTTTCGTCCTTGTTTTACCTCGTTGCATCTTATACTAAGCCCTAAAACAATACCAGTTGTCAACCTTTTATTTCGTCATGATATTCATAGTGATGGAATCTTTGCGAAGTTCAACACGCGTGAATACACTGAACTGCAGCTTCAGTGCCAGTTGTCCTACTGCGCCGTGCTATAGAAGACAGTCGGTGGAGAGCATTCCGTCCAACAAATCAGGTCAGAGAAGGTCAACGCCGGCGACGAGAATTTGATGGTCCCAAAAGGTTCCAGAAGCCAGCATCCTTTGTTGCACCCTCGGAGTCTGAGGTCTGACGTGGACTCATTCTGTACAAAATTGATGGTAACAAGACTGCCATGCGGGCTAGACGAAGGTCGCGAAAGTGAGGCAAGGGAGCCCAGCACGTCGACGATTTGCGAGATGCTGACAGGGCATTCCACCGTGGCAGGCCAAAGGTTCCGCCACGTCTCACGATGAATTCGCGCTGCCTTTCTGGTCTTGGACCGCCGTTCCACTTGGCTGTCAATCCAATTCGCGGTCCGGCTACCAGCAATAAATTCCCTCACTCCCCCAATCATTCAGTAGAAGCTGATATCCGCATTCATCGACATACTTTCGATTTTCAGGTTTCTGGAACATTCTGACACTTGTTGATCAACTCAAATCCATTCGTCTCCCAAAGCAATGGCTTCCTCTCTCGTCGCTCGCCAATGTCTGGCCGCCCTCTCCTTCAGCACTGCCGTGAAGGGCGCTGCTCTCTCCAACCGCCGCATAGCAGCAGTTCCCATCATCTCTCCCCGTGGTTCGGGCGCCACCGCACTCCTCGGCTTCAACAAAGGCGTCGTCCCCGCCAAAACCACCCCCGTTAAGAAGCAACTCCGCACCGAGGACGGCATCTTCGGCACATCCGGCGGATTCGGCTTCACGAAAGCTAACGAGCTCTTCGTCGGCCGCGTAGCGATGCTCGGCTTCGCCGCGTCGCTGCTGGGCGAGGCCATAACCGGCCAGGGCATTCTCTCGCAGCTGAACCTCGAGACCGGAGTCCCCATCACGGAGGCCGAGCCTCTCCTCCTATTCTTCATCGCCTTCACTGTGCTCGGCGCGATCGGCGGTCTGGGCGACCGCGGGCGATTTGTCGACGACGAGGCGCCCGCAGGCCCGCCGGTGAAGCCCGGAAGTTTCAAGGCGGCGCTGGGGCTGAGCGAGGACGGGCCGCTGTTCGGATTCACCAAGGCGAACGAGCTGTTCGTGGGGCGCATGGCGCAACTAGGCTTCGCCGCGAGCTTGATCGGTGAGGTGGTCACCGGGAGGGGCGCCTTGGCGCAGCTGAATATCGAGACGGGGCTGCCGGTTTGGGAGGTGGAGCCGTTGCTGCTGGCGAGCATCGCGTTCTTCTTTATCGCGGCCATCAACCCGGGCACTGGAAAGTTCATCAATGACGACGAGGAGTAGCGACCCAGCCCATGTATATATACTAGCTCTTAGAATACCAATGTACACAGAATTTTCTTAAAGGACTACTTGACCAAATTCCAGAGTATGCGTTGGAGACCGGCGAAGCAGGCCCTCGTACATGGCAATCGCCTTGAGCCCACGTTAAACACTCCAGAACTGCCCCCCCTTCCCCCCCCCAACCCCCCCCCCCAGAGAAATCCTCGCATGCAAGAAATTGCGAACTTCACTGAACATATGTCTAGCTACCTGCCTTGCTAGCCTGCTGCCTGTGTGTCTAACTGCTCGCCCGCCAGTCTCATTTTCTTCACTCCACTCGGGTGGGAAATATTGCTGTGCCCTCACTGTCCCTCCTTCCCACTCTATTCCAACCAGTCCACAGCAGCTTGGATGTTTTGATATCACGTATGCAGTACCACAACCTGCGGTGAGGTGGACATATGTCTATGCAAAAGTGCACTCGCTGTCTTGTTTCCTCCCACCTGCCGACTGCCCAGGACCTCAAAAGTGCACTGCTTTAGAATTTTGAACGGCACTAGGTATTTAGTATCGCAGGTTGCGGTGCACACATGACTCCAGGAAGGTGGGCTCGCTGTCCTCTTTCCCTCCCTTCTGCCGTCTGCCCAGCGTCTCCAGGTGCTTGCTCACCCATGACAGCACGTCCTTCATCGCCACGTCCATGCGCATCTGAGAGGAGGGGAGACGGTGTGGAGTGGGATGGGTGACACGTGAGGCTGGATGGATGCACTCAGAAGCGTCTCCAGGTTCTTTGCTTGCTCACCCATGACAGCACGTCCTTCATCGCCACGTCCATGCGCATCTGAGAGGAGGGGAGACGGTGTGGAGTGGGATGGGTGACACGTGAGGCTGGATGGATGCACTCAGAAGCGTCTCCAGGTTCTTTGCTTGCTCACCCATGACAGCACGTCCTTCATCGCCACGTCCATGCGCATCTGAGAGGAGGGGAGACGGTGTGGAGTGGGATGGGTGACACGTGAGGCTGGATGGATGCACTCAGAAGCGTCTCCAGGTTCTTTGCTTGCTCACCCATGACAGCACGTCCTTCATCGCCACGTCCATGCGCATCTGAGAGGAGGGGAGACGGTGTGGAGTGGGATGGGTGACACGTGAGGCTGGATGGATGCACTCAGAAGCGTCTCCAGGTTCTTTGCTTGCTCACCCATGACAGCACGTCCTTCATCGCCACGTCCATGTGCATCTGAGACGAAAGCAGGGAAAGGGGGGGAGGAGGGGGAGAGGGGGGGAGGAAAGGGAGAGGGGGGGAGAGCGGGGTGGGGGAGGAGGCGCGGGAAGAGGGGGGGGGGGGGGGGGGTTGTTGGATAAAAGATGGATGAATGTGAGGGTGGATGGATGCACTTGGACGCATCTCCAGGTGCCTGCTGACCTGGCCCATGACAGCATGCCCATCATTGCCACGTCCTTCCATGCGTAGCTGAGAGGAGGACAACCAGTGTGGAGTGGGATGGGTGACAGTGAGGGTGGATGGATGCAATCAGACAAGATGGGACTTTCGAATCGAATACACCACCGCCCATGTCCACTATCCCACGTCCACTACCCCACGCCCACTACCCCACGCCCACTACCCCACTCCCGCTACCCCACGCCCGCTACCCACGCCCGCTACCCCACTCCCGCTACCCCACTCCCGCTACTTTACGACTGCTACCCAACGCCCACTACCCCACGCCCACTACCCCACGCCAACTATCCCACGCCCGCTACCCCACTCCCGCTACCCCACTCCCGCTACCCCACGCCCGCTACCCCACGCCCGCTACCCCACTCCCGCTACCCCACTCCCGCTACTTTACGACTGCTACCCAATGCCCACTACCCCACGCCCACTACCCCACGCCAACTATCCCACGCCCGCTACCCCACTCCCGCTACCCACGCCCGCTATCCCACGCCCGCTACCCCACGCCCGCTACCCCACGCCCGCTACCCCACTCCCGCTACCCCACGCCCCCTACCCCACGCCCCCTACCCCACGCCCACTACCCCACTCCCGCTACCCCATGCCCGCTACCCCACGCCCGCTACCCCACGCCCGCTACCCCACGCCCGCTACCCCACGCCCACTACCCCACTCCCGCTACCCCACGCCCCCTACCCCACGCCCGCTACCCCACGCCAACTATCCCACGCCCGCTACCCCACGCCCGCTACCCCACGCCCGCTACCCCACTCCCGCTACCCCACTCCCGCTACCCCACGCCCGCTACCCCACGCCCGCGACCCCACTCCCGCTACCCCACGCCCGCTACTTTACGACTGCTACCCAACGCCCACTACCCCACGCCCACTACCCCACGCCAACTATCCCACGCCCGCTACCCCACTCCCGCTACCCCACTCCCGCTACCCCACGCCCGCTACCCCACGCCCGCTACCCCACTCCCGCTACTTTACGACTGCTACCCAATGCCCACTACCCCACGCCCACTACCCCACGCCAACTATCCCACGCCCGCTACCCCACTCCCGCTACCCCACGCCCGCTATCCCACGCCCGCTACCCCACGCCCGCTACCCCACTCCCGCTACCCCACGCCCACTACCCCACTCCCGCTACCCCACGCCCCCTACCCCACGCCCGCTACCCCACGCCAACTATCCCACGCCCGCTACCCCACTCCCGCTACCCCACGCCCGCTATCCCACGCGCGCTACTTTACGATCGCTACCCCACGCCCGCTACCCCATGCCCGCTACCCCATGCCCGCTACCCCACGCCCGCTACCCCACGCCCGCTACCCCACGCCCGCTATCCCATGCCCACTACCGCACTCCCGCTACCCCACGCCCGCTACCCCACGCCCACTACCCCACTCCCGCTACCCCACGCCCGCTACTTTACGACTGCTACCCAACGCCCACTACCCCACGCCCACTACCCCACGCCAACTATCCCACGCCCGCTACCCCACTCCCGCTACCCCACTCCCGCTACCCCACGCCCGCTACCCCACGCCCGCTACCCCACTCCCGCTACTTTACGACTGCTACCCAATGCCCACTACCCCACGCCCACTTCCCCACGCCAACTATCCCACGCCCGCTACCCCACTCCCGCTACCCCACGCCCCCTACCCCACGCCCGCTGGTCATGAACATGCTTCCAGGAGGGCTTGTAACCACCACATCCCATCTCGGCTCGTCAAGCAGGGTTGCATCACTCATCTCCCATGCATCTGCGTGGCCATAATCCCACCCACCAGGACCACCTCACTCCTATCTCATGCCACCCACCTCCTCATCATCTCCCCCGCCTGCTCACATCACTCTTCTCCCACCCCATCCCATCCCATCCCATCCCACCCCATCCCACCCCATCCCACCCCATCCCACCCCATCCCACTCACCTGCTCATAGGCCAGATCAAGGCACTCAGCCTCGAGCTTGGCAGTCTTCCGGTCCTCCTCATGCGCGTTCGACGGGTACAGCTCGAGCACTGCTGTTCCGGGCAGCAGGAAAATTATGTTGTCCATTGCCCGATCTCCCCACGGACCAATCACAATGTCTGCTCTGCCTAGGCCCAAAACCTGAGAGGAGTATGCAGCCGCAGGGGACAGCAGGACAGGTGACAGATTAAACCGGAGAACGTCTGAGATGAAAGGATTCTGACACAAAGTAGGCCTATGAAGTATGACTGGTGGGTGTATGATTAACGGGCGTGACAAGGGATCGAGATGGTGAGGGCATGGAATGGGAAACAGACGAGGGTAGAGGAGAGTAGAGGAGAGGAAGAGGAAATGAGAGGAGAGGAGAGGAGAGGAGAGGAGAGGAGAGGATTCCGCAAGACTCACCTTGACCCAGCAAGACTCACCTTGACCCAGCAAGACTCACCTTGACCCAGCAAGACTCACCTTGACCCAGCAAGACTCACCTTGACCCAGCAAGACTCACCTTGACCTAGCCACCTCCCAGCTGAGGCTGAAGAGGGCGCACTCCTGGCAGATCCACGTGGCGGCGAGGGAGAGGCTGAGCCAGGGAGGGCATGCGCGGCCAGCACATGCTTGAGAGGCATCTGTCATGCCACCTTCATCCAGCACAGCCCACCTTCACACGGCAGAATTCCCCTCTCGGCACCGTCGCGACCTCGCAGCTGAGGCTGAAGACAGCGCACTCCTGGCGGATCCACATGGCAGCGAGGGAGAAAGAGCCACGGCATGCGGTGGAAGGCCGCACTCTCCACCTCCCATCAGCTTATTCCTTCACCTTGACCCGGCAGAACTCTCCATGCGGCACAGTGGCCACCTCGCAGCAAGACTAAAAACGGCACACTCCTGGCGGATCCATGTGGCTGGCAGCGAGGGAGAAGTTGAGCCACGACATGCGCGCCCAGCGTGCAGATTCCATCGCTTACTCTTCACCTTCCCAGAGCATGCGCGCCCAAGAGCCCTCTGCCCAACCCCTCTCCTCTGCTCACCTTCACTCGGCAGAGTTCGCCTCTTGGCACTGTGGCCACCGCGCAGCTGAGACTAAAAACGGCACACTTCTGGCGGATCCAGGTGGCGGCGAGGGGGAAAGAGCCACGGCATGCAGTGGAAGGCCGCACTCTCCACCTCCCATCAGCTTATCCCTCACAAAGCATGGGCAATAGGCGAGTCGAGCATTACTTGCTCCGAGTAATTCTGACTCGACCCTCTTGGGAAGCGAGTCGAGCATTACTCAAGTCGAGTCTTTTTGCCAAGAACCCGGCTCGTTTACTCGTTTTTGGGGCGAGTAAACGTTTTACTCGGAGCGAGTAAATTTTACTCGCCCTGAGGCAAGCATTCCTCACCTTGACCCGGCAGAACTCTCCACGCGGCACAGTGGCCACCTCGCAGCTCAGGCTAAACACGGCGCACTCCTGGCGGATCCAGGTGGCGGCAAGGGAGAAGTTGAGCCAGGGCATGCGCGCCCAGTTGTCTGCGTCGCCTGCAAAGGCGATGCGCACGTCCATGCCCTCCTCGCCCAGCAGTGCCGGGGGTCCTCCGCGGATGGTACTGCTGGCACCCGCGTGCTGAGCACACGGTGGGCGGGGGGGGGGAGAGGGGGCGGGTTGGTGGTGTTTGAGAGGGAGAGGGGGCCATGCGCACGTCCATGCCCTCCTCGCCCAGCAGCACCGGGGGTCCTCTGGGGAGGGAACCGCTGACACGCGGGTGCTGAGTAGGGAAGCGGGGAGGGGAAGCGGGGAGGGGAAGCGGGGAGGGGAAGCGGGGAGGGGAAGCGGGGAGGGGAAGCGGGGAAGGGAAGCGGGGAAGTGGATCGCAGTTGTGGGGAAGGCACAGGCAATGCGCACGCCCATGCGAGGTGACTTTTGAGTCGACTCAAAAGCTTCCAGCACAGGTAATGCGCACGTCCAGGCCATCCTCACCCAGCAGCGCCAGGGGGGTCCGGGGAGGGCAATGCTGGGAGGAGGAGGAAGGGAGGAGTTATCTCCTGTGAAGGGAGAAGGAGGAGGAAGGGAGGAGTTATATCCTGCGAAGGGAGGAGTTATCTCCTGCGAAGGCAATGCGCACGTCCATGCCACCTTCGCCCAGCAGGGCAACGGGGGTCCTCGAGAGAGGGCACTGCTGGGCCGCGGGTGCTGAAAGCAAAAGCAGGGCAAGGGCAGCGAGAGGAAAGGGGAAGGGGGAAGGGGGAAGGGGGGGAAGGGGAGAAAGGGTGTGTGGGATGCAAAAGTGACAGGAGGGAGTGGCAGGAGAGAGGAGTGGCAGGAGATATACATGGCAGGTGGCTCACTGGCAGGAACACATACACATGGCAGGTGGCTCACAAGGCATGCCTCGTTCCAAAGGACCAGGGAGCAGTTGAACTAACCGGCAGAAACACATGGCAGGTGGCTCACTGGCAGAAACACATGCACTGAGGCGCCTCGTGACACTCACTGGCAGAAGGCGGCTCACTGGCAGAAGGCGGCTCACTGGCAGAAGGCGGCTCACTGGCAGAAGGCCACTCACTGGCAGAAGGCTCGCACTATCCGCCTGAGCTCCTGCGCGTCGCTGCTGCACTCGTCAGCGTTGAACGTGTCGCGCTGCCGCAGCACCACTGCACTCTCCAGGCACTGCGGCGTCACCCCGTCCGGCGGCTTGAACGGCGGCGCTGCTCCCGGTCCCAGCACTGCCTTGAGGAGATTGCTGGCCCATGCTGACACCTGTGTGTGGGGGAGATGCATCATGCATGGTTGAGGTACATCTGCCCCAACACCCCAGCACCACGGCATGATTTTGTGCTGTGGCTTGAATGGCGGCGCTGCTCCTGGGCCCAACACTGCCTTCACACACGCAGGCGCGCGCGCGCGCGCGCACACACAGACACACCCACCAGCACCAGCACCCGCACACACACACGCACCCGCACACACACACACACACACGCAGTCACGCACACACACGCGCGCATGCACGCACGCACACACACGCGCATGCACGCACACACACACACACACACACCCACACAACCGCACCCGCACACACACACACACACGCACGCACACACACACCCACACACGAACATACGCATGCACGCACGCGCGCGCGCACACACACGCGCATCTGCACACACGCTCCCGCACACGCGCACGCACGCACGCACGCGCGCACGCACACACACACACACACACACACACACACACACACACACACACACATACACACGCACACACGCGCACGCACGCGCACACACTCACACACACACACACGCACCCACGTGCGCACGCGCACACACACACTCACACACACACACGCACCCACGTGCGCATGCGCACACACACACGCACGCACACACACACACACCGACTAACCCACCTGAGTCCTCAGCATGCCGTCTTGGAACAGCATGAGCCTGGCCGGGCCGAAGCAGCCGTGGGAGCGGCGCCAGGTGGCGAGGGAGGAGGTGAGGTGCAGCAGAGTGAAGCGCCCCTCAAAGCCCCACTGGCTGTGCGCGATGAACGTGCTGCCCGACAGGTGCCCCGCATCGGGGGGGACCGAGGCGAAGTCCAGGAGCGTGTACTGATTCCTGGATGGGTCGTCCATGTCCTCGTCGTTGTCGCCCTGGGGGAGGGGGGGGCCGTGGGAAAAGGGAAGAGCAGGGGACGGGTCCAATTGAACACCAGATAGGTGCCATTGTGCCATTGTGCCATTGTGCCATTGTGCCATTGTGCCATTGTGCCATTGTGCCATTGTGCCATTGTGCCATTGTGCCATTGTGCCATTGTGCCATTGTGTCAATACGTGGCAGCAACTTGTGTGATGACACCTGGGGGAGGGAGGGGCCGTGGGAAAAGGGAAGAGCAGGGGACGGGGAAGAAGGACAAGGAGGCGAGGAGGGGTCTGCCTCTGTGATGGCCGACAGATAGGCGGTGACGGGCGAAAGTCCAGGAGAGTGCAATGATTGCAAGATGGGTCGTTCATAACGTCTTCGCTGTCGCCATGGGGGATAAGGGGTAGGTAGGGTGGTGGAGGCAAGGGGTGGTCCAGTGGAGTCTGGGCACTTGTGGTGACTTGGAATCGGACTCGAAAACACACAAGCATCACAGATTGGACACACCTTGATGCACATCACGTGTCGGTTGACGGAGTGCGTGGGCACTTCAGCGATCTCGGTGGTGATGAGGGGGTGCTGGAAGGTCAGCTGCTTCAGAAACTGCTTGCTGCCGCGGTGCTCAAAGGCGTCAAACACCGGCTCAAACACCATGTGCGCTGCCGTGCTCAGCCTGCGCCTCCGCACCACCTGATTGCGTGAGAGGGAGGGGGGAGCAGAGGGAGGTCCAACAAGCCAGCAGTGCTCAAAGGCGCGTCGAACACTGGCTCAAACACCATGTGTGCTGCTGTACTCAGCCTGCGCCGTCTCACCACCTGAGAGTAATAAGAGGGGGGGGCGGAGGGACGGGGAGGCGGGGTGGGGGAGGGAGCGGGAGGCTATGTTGCTCTAAACGCGTTTAGCGTATGAAACGCTAGCGTTTATACGCAAAACGCTAATTTCTGGGATCATAAACGCTAGATAAAATCAAGCCCGGGCAGGGGTGAAAAGTTGGAAAGGGGGGGGGGAAGAGAGGGGTTTCAGAAGCATACTCTTTCCATTCCATAGGATTGCAAATTGTCAAGTTTAAGCATGCCAAAACCAAGTCGCAATCACGGTTTGGAGCCCCTTCTCCCCCCCACATCCACCTTTCTACCACGGTATCACCCTCCCTCCCTAGTTGTGAGGGAGTTCAGTGCAGCGAAAGGGAGGGAGTTGGTTTGAAGTCAATTTTGGGCTCCCAGGTTGGGAATTGCAACATGGCGAATGTTGTGTTGGATACGCCATGTCGCGAGTGCTTTTTTTTCCACAATTTTTTTGTCGGGCTGCCTCCAAAATTTTGGCCGAGCGTTTATAGTCTACTCCCGCGTTTAGTGTTTATACGCAGCGCATATACGCTAAACGCTCCCCAAAAAGTGCGTTCAGAGCAACATAGGCGGGAGGTACGTCAGATATGCACAGGTGCGTCAAACACCAACATATGAGCAGCTGTGTTGAGCCTGCGCTGTCTCACCACCTGGGTAAAACAAGGGGGAAGGAGGGGCGGGGGGGGGAAGAAGAGGGTGCATCAAACACTGGCTCGGATACCACCAGGTGCGTTGCTGTCCTTAGCCCGCGCCTCCGCACCACGTAAGATACAAGGAGAGTTAAGGGAGCCACGAGTGCTGTTCCTCACTTGCATGCAGTGATCATGCCATCAATGCAACGCCACACACCTACGCCCCTGCCTCAAGCTGACCCTGAAAGGTGCGCCCTGGCATGGACTTTGCCCTATCACATGTATGTCCACACTGACTACCGTTGACCATTCCGTACCTGCACTGACCTTGCCCACCCTTGGATTCGACTCACCCTACTTCCCATCTCACCTTGACCATCTTGTCTCGCTCGAAGTATGTGACAGCCTCTGAAGTGTTGCGCAGCGACATGTAGCCCAGCATGATAGCGATGTCATTCATGCACACGGACCTGCAGGGCGAGGGGCACACGAACAAGCATGTACACCAGCCACAGTGGCATGCAGACTCTTAGGGATACACGCGCAGCGGCATCCACATGCACCCCAACGTGATGGGCGGTGCAGTTCAGTTCATGCACTGCTCACACACACACACACACACACACACACACGCACACACACGCACACACACACACACACGCACACACGCACACACACGCACACACACACGCACACACACACACATGCGCGCGCACGCACGCGCACACACGCGCACACGCGCACACACACACGCACGCGCACACACACACGCACGCACACGCACACACGCACGCGCACACACACAGGCACGCACACGCACACACACGCACGCACACACACACACACACACACACACACGCACGCACACACACACATGCACACGCACACACGCACGCACACACACACACACACAGACACGCACGCACGCACACACACGCACGCACACACACACGCACGCACACACACGCACACACGCGCACGCACGCACACACACGGATGCACGCACACACACAGACACACACGCACGCACGCACACACATGCACGCACGCACACACACACACACACACACACACGCACGCACACACACGCACGCATGCACACACACGCACGCACACACACGCACACACACGCATGCACGCATGCACGCACACACACACACGCACACACACACGCACACACACACACACACGCACACACATACACACACACACACACACACACACACACACACACACACACACACACACACACGCACGGGCCTGTGGATTCCGGGGAATGCAACCCAGCATGTCAGAGATATCATTTGATGCACAGTAGCATAGCAACCAGACTAGTGAGGATACAAGGGCAGCAACATGTATCTCAGCAGGAGGGCAGGGCAGCTAGCATCACCCAACCCACCCGTCACCATCACCTCGCCTGGAGTAATCATGGCTCCCTGTGAACCACAACTCCCAGGACGTCTGACAGTCCAGCTTGGTGGGGTCCGCAATCACCCCAAAAATCCAACCAATCAATTGCGCCCAAACAGACACGTCACCCGAGGACGTGCCATGGTCGAGCTTCGTCGGGTGCTCCATGAGCAGCGGCAGCAGGCCCGAGAGCTGCGCCAATATCACCACCATCACCCGCAATTCACCATCCACCTCACCTGGAGTTATCATGACTGCCTCTGGACGACAACCCCGAGGACGTCCCGTAGTCCAGCTTAGTGGGGTCCTCCATGAGCAGCGGCGGCAGGCCCGACAGCTGCGTGACAACAAAGTTCATCGTGATGTCTTCACAGTTCTTGTTGCGCTCCACGTACTCGCGCACGCGCTGCGGCATGATGCATGTGTACGCGCGCAGGTAGTCCCCGTGCATGAGGAACATCTTGGTCAGCACTATGGAGTACTCTTGGCGCGGCGTGAGAACGTAGGTCATGTGGCCCTTGCGCGGCCCGTTCACCTCGCGGTAGTGCGCGCGAGGGAAGAAGCCCACGAGGCGGTACTTCTCCTCCTGCCACCGCTCGAAGGCCACCCGCAGGGCGCCTGAGTGGACTTCTATGTCGTCATCGCACATCAGCACTGCCTCTGTCTCGAGGGAGCTGGGGAAAAAGAAAAAAAAAAAAAAAAAAAGACAGAGTCAGAGAGAGAGAAGAGAAGAAATCAGCTGTGTTCTTAAGCGTACTTGGGAAGAAGCCGATGAGGCGGTGCTTATCTTCATCCCACCGCCCGAAGGCCACTCGCAGGGCGCTGGGATGCACCTCAATGCTGTTGTCACACACCGGCAGGCACTGCTTGTCTCTAGGGACGGGGGCGGGGGAGGGGGGAGAGAGGGGGGAACACACGTGCGAGGGTCGGCTTGAAGTGCGATCCACCTCGACGTCGTCGTCTCGAGGGACCTGGAGAAAGGGGGAGTGGTGGGAACAGGGTGCAATGTTAATCGCCTCAAAACAGTGGGAGATGGAGATGAAGGAGGGCGGGAAGGGCGTGACAGGGGAGCGGCCAGTTTTCAATGACCATATGCACTCACCGAATAGGCCTCGACTCACCGAGTGGGCTTCAACTCGCCGAACAGAGCTCAACTCACTGAATGGGCTTGAATCGGACGTTAACCGAATCAATCCCCCCAAGTAGAGGATCTCCACGGGCTTGGAGATGTTGACGTGGGGGTGGGGGGTGATCTACGTTTCGCCCAGCACAGGCACACAAGGGAACTGCTTCGACTCACCGAATGGGCTTAAACCGGTCGTTGAGTGAGTCGATCCCCGAGTAGAGGATCTCGACGGGCTTGGAGACGTTGAAGAAGGAGGGGTGGAAGGGCGTGACGCGCGTGTTGCCCCACACGATGTACACCTTGTGCACGAACTCGAACCGCGCGTAGCGCCGCACAAAGTACAGCATCAGGTCGAAGCGGTCGAAGCAGTTGATGATCACGCTGAACTTGTCGGTGATTGGGGGCTTGCTGCGGGTTGGGGGAAGGGACACACAGGTGGGAAGCCGCAGAAGGGAGGCATGAGTGACACGATGGGGTCAAAGCGGTGGAAGCAAGCAGCTGATAATAACGCTGGACCCGTCCAGCGCCCATAATTGGGGGCTTGCTGCAGGTTGGGGGTGGGATCAGGCGGATGGGCCGGAACACAAGAGAGTCACGGAGGTGGACGAAGAGGTGCAAGAGGTGCAAGAGGTGCAAGAGGTGCAAGAGGTGCAAGAGGTGCAAGAGGTGCACGAGGTGCACGAGGTGCACGAGGTGCACGAGGTGCACGAGGTGCACGAGGTGCACGAGGTGCAAGAGGTGCAAGAGGGTGCAAGAGGTGGCAAGAGGTGCACGAGGTGCAAGAGGTGCAAGAGGTGCAAGAGGTGCAAGAGGTGCAAGAGGTGCAAGAGGTGCAAAGAGGTGCAAGAGGTGCAAGAGGTGCAACGAGGTGCACGAGGTGCACGAGGTGCACGAGGTGCAAGAGGTGCAAGAGGTGCAAGAGGTGCAAGAGGTGCAAGAGGTGCAAGAGGTGCACGAGGTGCAAGAGGTGCAAGAGGTGCAAGAGGTGCAAGAGGTGCAAGAGGTGCAAGAGGTGCAAGAGGTGCAAGAGGTGCAAGAGGTGCAAGAGGTGCACGAGGTGCACGAGGTGCACGAGGTGCAAGAGGTGCACGAGGTGCACGAGGTGCACGAGGTGCAAGAGGTGCAAGAGGTGCACGAGGTGCAAGAGGTGCAAGAGGTGCAAGAGGTGCAAGAGGTGCAAAGAGGTGCAAGAGGTGCAAGAGGTGCAAGAGGTGCACGAGGTGCAAGAGGTGCAAGAGGTTGCAAGAGGTGCAAGAGGTGCAAGAGGTGCAAGAGGTGCACGAGGTGCACGAGGTGCACGAGGTGCACGAGGTGCAAGAGGTGCAAGAGGTGCACGAGGTGCAAGAGGTGCAAGAGGTGCACGAGGTGCACGAGGTGCAAGAGGTGAAAGAGGTGCAAGAGGTGCACGAGGTGCAAGAGGTGCAAGAGGTGCAAGAGGTGCAAGAGGTGCAAGAGGTGCAAGAGGTGCAAGAGGTGCACGAGGTGCAAGAGGTGCAAGAGGTGCAAGAGGTGCAAGAGGTGCAAGAGGTGCAAGAGGTGCACGAGGTGCAAGAGGTGCACGAGGTGCACGAGGTGCAAGAGGTGCAACGAGGTGCACGAGGTGCAAGAGGTGCAAGAGGTGCAAGAGGTGCAAGAGGTGCAAGAGGTGCAAGAGGTGCAAGAGGTGCAAGAGGTGCAAGAGGTGCAAGAGGTGCAAGAGGTGCAAGAGGTGCAAGAGGTGCAAGAGGTGCAAGAGGTGCAAGAGGTGCAAGAGGTGCAAGAGGTGCAAGAGGTGCAAGAGGTGCAAGAGGTGCAAGAGGTGCAAGAGGTGCACGAGGTGCACGAGGTGCACGAGGTGCAAGAGGTGCAAGAGGTGCAAGAGGTGCAAGAGGTGCACGAGGTGCAAGAGGTGCAAGAGGTGCAAGAGGTGCAAGAGGTGCAAGAGGTGCAAGAGGTGCAAGAGGTGCAAGAGGTGCAAGAGGTGCAAGAGGTGCACGAGGTGCACGAGGTGCACGAGGTGCAAGAGGTGCAAGAGGTGCAAGAGGTGCAAGAGGTGCAAGAGGTGCAAGAGGTGCACGAGGTGCAGAGGTGCAAGAGGTGCAAGAGGTGCAAGAGGTGCAAGAGGTGCAGAGGTGCACGAGGTGCACGAGGTGCAAGAGGTGCAAGAGGTGCAAGAGGTGCAAGAGGTGCAACGAGGTGCACGAGGTGCACGAGGTGCACGAGGTGCACGAGGTGCAAGAGGTGCAAGAGGTGCAAGAGGTGCACGAGGTGCAAGAGGTGCAAGAGGTGCAAGAGGTGCAAGAGGTGCAGAGGTGCAAGAGGTGCAAGAGGTGCACGAGGTGCAAGAGGTGCAAGAGGTGCACGAGGTGCAAGAGGTGCAAGAGGTGCAAGAGGTGCAAGAGGTGCAAGAGGTGCAAGAGGTGCACGAGGTGCAAGAGGTGCAAGAGGTGCAAGAGGTGCAAGAGGTGCAAGAGGTGCAAGAGGTGCAAGAGGTGCACGAGGTGCAAGAGGTGCAAGAGGTGCAAGAGGTGCAAGAGGTGCAAGAGGTGCAAGAGGTGCACGAGGTGCACGAGGTGCAAGAGGTGCAAGAGGTGCAAGAGGTGCAAGAGGTGCAAGAGGTGCACGAGGTGCACGAGGTGCACGAGGTGCACGAGGTGCACGAGGTGCACGAGGTGCAAGAGGTGCACGAGGTGCACGAGGTGCACGAGGTGCACGAGGTGCAAGAGGTGCAAGAGGTGCACGAGGTGCAAGAGGTGCAAGAGGTGCAAGAGGTGCAAGAGGTGCAAGAGGTGCAAGAGGTGCAAGAGGTGCAAGAGGTGCAAGAGGTGCACGAGGTGCAAGAGGTGCAAGAGGTGCAAGAGGTGCAAGAGGTGCAAGAGGTGCAAGAGGTGCACGAGGTGCACGAGGTGCACGAGGTGCACGAGGTGCAAGAGGTGCAAGAGGTGCACGAGGTGCAAGAGGTGCAAGAGGTGCACGAGGTGCACGAGGTGCAAGAGGTGCAAGAGGTGCAAGAGGTGCACGAGGTGCAAGAGGTGCAAGAGGTGCAAGAGGTGCAAGAGGTGCAAGAGGTGCAAGAGGTGCACGAGGTGCAAGAGGTGCAAGAGGTGCACGAGGTGCAAGAGGTGCAAGAGGTGCAAGAGGTGCAAGAGGTGCAAGAGGTGCAAGAGGTGCAAGAGGTGCAAGAGGTGCACGAGGTGCAAGAGGTGCAAGAGGTGCAAGAGGTGCAAGAGGTGCAGGGTGCAAGAGGTGCAAGAGGTGCAGAGGTGCAAGAGGTGCAAGAGGTGCAGAGGTGCAAGAGGTGCAAGAGGTGCACGAGGTGCACGAGGTGCACGAGGTGCACGAGGTGCAAGAGGTGCAAGAGGTGCAAGAGGTGCAAGAGGTGCAAGAGGTGCACGAGGTGCACGAGGTGCACGAGGTGCACGAGGTGCAAGAGGTGCAAGAGGTGCACGAGGTGCACGAGGTGCACGAGGTGCACGAGGTGCACGAGGTGCACGAGGTGCAAGAGGTGCAAGAGGTGCACGAGGTGCACGAGGTGCAAGAGGTGCAAGAGGTGCAAGAGGTGCACGAGGTGCAAGAGGTGCAAGAGGTGCAAGAGGTGCAAGAGGTGCAAGAGGTGCAAGAGGTGCAAGAGGTGCAAGAGGTGCACGAGGTGCAAGAGGTGCAAGAGGTGCAATTTGTGCAAGAGGTGCAAGAGGTGCACGAGGTGCACGAGGTGCACGAGGTGCACGAGGTGCAAGAGGTGCAAGAGGTGCAAGAGGTGCAAGAGGTGCAAGAGGTGCACGAGGTGCACGAGGTGCAAGAGGTGCAAGAGGTGCAAGAGGTGCACGAGGTGCAAGAGGTGCAAGAGGTGCAAGAGGTGCAAGAGGTGCAAGAGGTGCAAGAGGTGCAAGAGGTGCACGAGGTGCAAGAGGTGCAAGAGGTGCACGAGGTGCAAGAGGTGCAAGAGGTGCAAGAGGTGCAAGAGGTGCAAGAGGTGCAAGAGGTGCACGAGGTGCAAGAGGTGCAAGAGGTGCAAGAGGTGCAAGAGGTGCAAGAGGTGCAAGAGGTGCAAGAGGTGCACGAGGTGCAAGAGGTGCAAGAGGTGCAAGAGGTGCACAAGAGGTGCACGAGGTGCACGAGGTGCAACGAGGTGCAAGAGGTGCAAGAGGTGCAAGAGGTGCAAGAGGTGCATGCACGAGGTGCACGAGGTGCACGAGGTGCACGAGGTGCACGAGGTGCACGAGGTGCAAGAGGTGCACGAGGTGCACGAGGTGCACGAGGTGCAAGAGGTGCAAGAGGTGCACGAGGTGCAAGAGGTGCAAGAGGTGCAAGAGGTGCAAGAGGTGCAAGAGGTGCAAGAGGTGCAAGAGGTGCAAGAGGTGCACGAGGTGCAAGAGGTGCAAGAGGTGCAAGAGGTGCAAGAGGTGCAAGAGGTGCAAGAGGTGCACGAGGTGCACGAGGTGCACGAGGTGCACGAGGTGCAAGAGGTGCAAGAGGTGCACGAGGTGCAAGAGGTGCAAGAGGTGCACGAGGTGCACGAGGTGCAAGAGGTGCAAGAGGTGCAAGAGGTGCACGAGGTGCAAGAGGTGCAAGAGGTGCAAGAGGTGCAAGAGGTGCAAGAGGTGCAAGAGGTGCAAGAGGTGCACGAGGTGCAAGAGGTGCAAGAGGTGCACGAGGTGCAAGAGGTGCAAGAGGTGCAAGAGGTGCAAGAGGTGCAAGAGGTGCAAGAGGTGCAAGAGGTGCAAGAGGTGCACGAGGTGCAAGAGGTGCAAGAGGTGCAAGAGGTGCAAGAGGTGCAAGAGGTGCAAGAGGTGCACGAGGTGCAAGAGGTGCAAGAGGTGCAAGAGGTGCAAGAGGTGCAAGAGGTGCACGAGGTGCACGAGGTGCACGAGGTGCACGAGGTGCAAGAGGTGCAAGAGGTGCAAGAGGTGCAAGAGGTGCACGAGGTGCACGAGGTGCACGAGGTGCACGAGGTGCAAGAGGTGCACGGAGGGTTTATGAACGCACTGAGCTTGTCGGCAATTGGAGGATTGCTGCGCATTGTGGGTGGGCTGGGAAATAGAGAGTGTGTAGAGTAGGGAAGTAATAGAGAACGCATGCATAAGGACCACTGACCGAGCATAGGCCGGGGGACAAGCCAACCAATCACCGCGCATATGTCATGTAGCTCCTCTCTACTGAAGGGCCAGCTGACTTGTGAGCCACGTACAGACCAACCCTACGCCATTTAATGAACAGACGAGGGGAAATTACACACTCACAGTGCTGTGCATACATGATACGCCACTCACTCACCGCGCGTACGCCGCCATGTGGTTCCTCTGGCACTGCGGCGCCAGCTTGCTTCTGAGCTATGCACGGAGCATGCATAAGCCGTGCATTCAGAGAAGGGAGAATAAAACGAGTACCAGACTCACCGCACGAAGCCATGTAGTTCCTCTCGCACTGCGGCGCCAACTGAGGCGGCTCCGATGGCGACCCTGCTGCTGCTGCCAGCCTGGCAGCCGTCGCCACTCCCTCCATGCCTCCCCATCCCCCCCCCCCCCCCCCCCCCCCCCCCCCACCACCAGCGCCACCAGCATGCATACGCCACTCACTCACCGGGCATACGCCATGTAGTTTCTCTGGCACTGCGGCGCCAGCTGAGGCGGCTCTGACGGCGACCCGGCCGCTGCTGCCGCTGCTGCTGCCAGCCTGGCAGCCGTCGCCACCCCCTCCAAGCTCCCACCCCCCCCTCCTCCTCCCCCACCACCAGCACTCTCAGCAGCAGCTGCCGCGGCAGCAGCAGCTGCAGCAGTGGTGTCGAGGGTAGAGCGAGAGTTGAAGGAGGAGGAGGCAGAGGAGGACTTGGAGGAGGCTTTGAGCGCCTGGCGGTGCAGGATGGAGTACACGTCGTCGTACACCTCCCACCACCGGTGGTCAAAGGCTCGCGTGGTGGGGAACTGGTAGGAAAAGGGGGGGGAGGGGACGGGGGGGTGTGGGGTGTGAGAAGAGGGTAGGGTGACTGGCGGTGCAGGATGGAGTAGACGTCGTCGCACAACTCCCACCACCAGTGGTCAAAGGCACGCGTGGTGGGGAACTGGAAGGAGGGAAGAGCGATGAGGGGAGAGAGGGGGAGGGGCGGATGTAAAGGCGAGGGAGAGAGGGGGAGGAGGAGGCAGAGGCTGCAGCTTTGAGTGCAGGATGGAGTAGGCGTTGGCGAACACCTCCCACCACCAGTGATCAAAGGCACGCGTGGTGGGGAACTGGAGGGAGAGTGAAAGGAGAAGACAAGCTTTGATACAAGTGCAGCACTTTCCGCTTGGTACTGCCCCGTGGGTGCAGCACCCGACTCACCATGTCAAATGAGACACAGAACGCTTCTACCTCGAAAGGGCACCTAACCACCTGTCTGTCGACCATCCTGTTCCATGGCTGGGTGTTCCTCGAGAAGTGCAACACCTTGAGCCCCAGGGTCCCACCTGCCTCAAATGTGTTTCGAGACACACAGTGCAATTTTGAGACATCGGAACCGACCTGCCTGTCTGTCGACCATCATGTTCCAGGGCTGGGTGTTCCCCGAGAAGTGCAGCACCTTGAGCTTACCAACCCCCCCCCCCCTCCATTAAACCGCCTATCTTAGATGAAACACAGCCCCTAGCACGCGCACCTCTCCGGGTATGGGGGGTGCACCTGTCGGTCGACCATCATGTTCCACGGCTTGGTGTTTCCCGAGAAATGCAGGACCTTGAGCTTGGGCTCAATGAACAGCCGCCACCCGGGCGACACCGAGATGCGCACCAGCGCGTTGTACGTATAATCAATATGGTGCAGCGGGCCCTGCTGGTACCACGACGAAAAGTAACTGTTCAGAAACCCCTGATCCCCCACGTTGGGGGAGATGAGGGTGGCGATCTTGGAGAGCATGTCTTTGAACATGGCGCGGTTGGGCTCGACCACCATGAGGCCCGAGTTGAACTTGTCCGGGGGCAACGTGTCGGGGGCTGCGGAGAGCTGTGGGCGCTGGAAGAGGTCGTCGATGGACTGCAGGACGAGCAGGTCCGAGTCCAGGTAGATGAGCTTGCGGTACTTCACCATGTTCCACATGAGCAGCTTGGAGTACCTGCAGGGAGCGGGGGAGGGGTCAGGAAGACACATGACCCCCTGGAAGAGGTCGTCGATGGACTGCAGGACGAGGAGATCGGAATCCAGGTAGATGAGCTTGTGATATTTCACCATGTTCCACATGAGCAGCTTGGAGCACCTGCAGGGAGGGATCAGACAGACAGAGGGATCGCATACGCGGCTTGTTGATTGCGAGTCTGTCCGCCGCGGCAATGCGCGGGTAAGGCACAAGCTCCAGGAACGGCCCGACCCTTTTTATGCTCCTGCTCTCGCACAAACCTCCCTCGCTCTCACCTCTAGGTCTTCCTCTCTCCCCTGCACGGCTTGTTGATTGCGAGTCTGTCCGCAGTAACGGCGAACGGATAAGGCACAGATTCCAGGATCGGCTCGCTGTTTAGAAGCTCTTGATGAAACTCTCTTTCTCTCTCTCTCTCTTGCCTGCACGGCTTGTTAATCGAGAGTCTGTCCGCTGTAACGGCGAACGGATAGGGCACCAGTTCCAGGATCGGCTCGACAAACTCGAAGCTCCTGCTCTCCCAGAATGCTCTCCCTCTCTCACCTGCACGGCTTGTTGATCGCGAGTCTGTCTGCAGTAACGGCGAACGGATAGGGCACCGGTTCCAGGATCGGCTCGATCTTCGCTCCCAGGGCTACCAGCGCCTCGAGCGTGCGATTCGAGACGTTCATCGTGAGTATTACGATGTCGTGAGGCGTGCCTGTACGGCGTACGGAGTGTACCATCACCATCGCCGCCTCTGCCATGACGTCATCGCACAGTAGCGTGACGTAAGCGTACTTGTTCCGCGAGCCGCCTGGAACGGAAGTGGCGCTAAGGCCGACTCCGGTTCCGATTTCACCCTCGCCGTCGCCGCGTGCCAATAACGGGCGGACACAAACGAATCCCTGACATAACAACACAATGAGAACTACTACGGCGACGAGTCTCGTTGGCCCCATAAAGTCTCGGTTTTGACCGCTTGGTAACAGTCAGATATTGAATGAAGTGAAACCTTCAGCGCGACTATTTACATTTCTAAGGACAACTACACTTGATGGTAACTGGACGCGTAATCACCCCACTATCAACTTAAAGCACAATCCTTCAACCCTGCTGCTGTCGCGTTCCCTAGAGCGTGGGTCATCCTTGCGAGAGCGACAACTCGTGTGGACTCGGTAGACTCCCAGCCAGCACCAACTAAACTGACGTCTTTTTTATAACGGAAGAGGAAGCAGAGAAAGGAGGCAGGGAAGAGCAAGCGGCTGAGGGTGGGGAACTAAGGCTCGAACAGGCCTCAAATTCGTAACTTTCGGACAGGTTGAAATCGGTGGGGTTTATTGCAGTCACATTGAAGCATGGTTCAGTGTGGTAACGGTTCGAAGTAGAGCTGTTGGAGCCTGAGGAAGTTCGTCAGTCCAAGGATGGTGGGGATGGTTGGGTTCGGTCGGTTGGTGTGACGCGTGCTTTATAAAACCACTCGATCCCGTCATGAGGTCAGGTAGTCTACACGGTAAATTTTCTGCATGGATGTTGAGCTAATGCAAGTAAATCTTATTGCCTTTTAAATAGACATAACATTATGCACCATATCCTAAAATCATTTGCAATTGTGTTCACTTCATGTAACTGACAAAATTGCATGCTATTAACAATACCTTCTCATCCTTTCCCAATCTCTCCTCTCCCTCCACCACCACCTTTCCCCTTGCAACAATGCTGCTCCTCCCAAGCCTATGGAAGTGTTCTGTTTCATATCATCTACCTCGTTGTCATTCAAAGCGTCTTTTGGTCTACTGAATGCTCCTACCTAACATTGTTTGTTTCCAGACGGAACAATATCCCACCATTGTTGTCGGTAGGTAGTGACGAATCCGTGGTCTGACATAAAAACGCCCCTCATCTATGATGCACGTGCTGGCCGTGCTGGACAGATGGTGCGACGATGAAGGAAGCATGAATGGACGACCATTCGATGTGGGGCCAGCGCATATTTATAGCGCAAGCTGGTACAGTACTGGTGGCGAGGAACCACAAATTTTCTGTGGACGGCAGGGCTGGGCCAATTGCTGAATTCGTATGTTTTAGTGAGTTCAAACACGCACTATCTCCAGAACTTCTCGCTACGTTACAAGAAAATGCATTCACAAGACGTCTACACTTAGCACAGTAGACCCGCGACGTATCAACATGAATTACACAGGTGCAAGCCTGTTACTTGTGCTTGCGGCCGTAGTGGCCACTCTTGGTCTTGTTACCGTGATGACTGTAGTGCCCGCCGTGTTTGCCATGGCCGCCATGGTGTCCGTGCTGTCCATGTTTACCGTGGTGTCCGTGCTTGCCATGACCGTAATGGTGTCCCTTGCCCTTCTTCTCGCTGCCATATCCGCCAGTAAGGCCAGTCACGACGACATCCCCACGTGGTGCGGGACCACCTGCAATTAGAATGCGAAATGATGAGAACAAATCATGAAATTGGTGACCAGCACAGGACCTGGGAAGAAAAAACTAAATTCTGACACAGGGCTAGGGTAGTCAAGAGCAAGCCATACCTGGGAGAGGATAGTCATACGGGCTGGGGTTGCTCTCGCCGGCTGCAGGAGGAATCAAACAGAGAACAAGAAACGAAGTCAGAACTCCCGTTGACTAGGCTACAACTATGAGGCCAGAGAGAGACGCGTACTAGGTGACACTCACAGTAAGACATTGTAGTGTTGATTGGCAGAAAGCTAACTCCAAGAATGTGAGACGATGACTGAACTCTACTTGGTTGGAAGGACTACTTATTCACCAGATTTCCTCATTCTTGCTGTTTAGGGCGTGTCCAGCGCGTTCGTTTACTATTCACTTTGCGGATCAGGTACAGGATTTCGTCCTGGTAACCCGAAATTTCGTGTACATTCGGACACGCACGATAAATTGACAGTTTCGGCGGACACCTTCCAGATGTGCCCACAGACGTGGGCCACACGTTTCCGAACCGAATGAAAATCGTGCGCAACTTATGTACACGGCAGAAATGTCCAAATCCTGGCTGGCGAAAAATAGAACGCTTACATCCGCCAGGATTTCGTGACGCTTGCGAAGCACGACGAAAAAAGCGGAAGAGGAATTGGAGTTGCATGCGCGACTCGACTGATGTTTTCGCGTAGCGAAATTCCCAGGGCGAAATTTTGTTACCCTGATGTTTTCGCGTGTCAGTCTGTTATGTGCGCGCTGCGCACCCGCTCATCTGTCGAGCCACGGTCGGGACTCGTGTCCACTCGTGTCCCAGCGTTTTGCTGTTGATACAGTAGGTGTACAACAACAGATTCACACTTGGCGAATCAATATTTCTGCGTGTGAAAAAAACGTCAAAAAATCGTCAGGGGCAAAATGAACGCGCTGGACACGCCCTTAGAACTTGACACTCCCAGGGACGGAAAGGCTTGGTCAGTTCTTGGTCCCCACTGGGATCATCAGTCAAGCCAGCATGGCAACCTGTAATTCGTGAGCATAGTCAACAATCTAGAACTTCCCACTCGCTGAATGCCACGGAGGCTGAGACACGCTGGAGAGATTCAACCTAGGCTCGTTGCCCAACCACCGACAGGGAGGTTTGAGATTCAATGACGTTTGAATCCAAGCCTCGGTTGGTTCCAAGGTTTCCCGAACCTGTGTAACATGCCTTGTTCGTTGCATCCACCACAGCTGAACCGACGGCGTGAAGTCAAGAAGAACCCCAGTCCAGATGAAGTTGCGGCGCGACATATTGTGGCCATGGTTATAGCACACATAAACTTATGCATAATATACGAGCTGGTTGGCAATATGCAAGAAACAATACGCTAAGCATGCATCTTCCATGTTTACTTTTGCCTTACCCTCTCATGACATCAAGGCTCATATGTCTGTGCCATATTTATTTCCAAGAAGCAGTAAAGAGCTGTAACGAACTCCTATCATCCTTCAAAAACTGCTTGCCATCTCATGAACATGTTCACTATTACATATTGTAAATCTGTGTCAGAGGTGAGCTCGCATTACCATGCATATACACACCCTAACTAGCTGGGCATTACAGGCACATGACAAGGGCAAATTTACGGATGCAACATCACAATGAGGGTACAAGACAACACTAGGTGATAGATAGGTTGGGTACATCACAATTAGGGAATCCTTCGCTCCGCCATGGGTATAGATGGGACAGAGAAATAGGTGAGAAGGTTAAGCTGAACCTGAATGCATCATGCACAGAAACGCAACACGTCCTCGTGCACAGCGCTTATATCTACCTGGCGCACTGAGAAGGGAGGCATATCGACATTTTTCTACAAATGTGGAAGGCTTCTACTTGTGCTTGCGGCCGTGCCTGAAGCCACCCAAATGCTTGCCAATGCGGTGACCGATCCCCTTGTGCTTGTGACCGCCGTGGTGTCCACGGATGCCGTGACCCTTGTGGTGTCCCTTGAAGTGGCCCTTGAAATGGCGGCCCTTACCCTTCTTCTCACTGCCGTATCCGCCAGTAAGGCCAGTCACGACCACATCCCCACGTGGTGCGGGACCACCTGAAAACAGATTGCGAATACATGAGTAACTCGAAACAAACGGAAGAAGCGGAATTTCAGCGAGAAACGGCTGGAATGTATGCAATGGTAAGGGGGAGGATAACATCGAGCCGTACCTGGGAGAGGATAGTCATAAGGGCTGGGGTTGCTTCCGCCGTCTGCCAGAAGAATTTAAGTTGAGTCAGTACTACCATAATTGAGGTAACAACCAGCAATCCGCTGATGAAGGGGGACTAAGTGACACTCACAGTAAGACATGGTGATGGTCGACAGCAAGCTAACTCCAAGAATGTGAAACGAGTGACTGGGAATGGAAAACTGATGTGGGAGAAATGACAGATTATATCTCAGCCGAAGTCCTCCCGCATGCTTGTGCCTAATCAACGATCGAGGGAAGAGAAGGGAAGGGAAACCTCAGTCAACAGCACAGCAGTCACTTCGGTCAGTGCCTGCTTGCCCGGTCATTGCTTGCTCGCTCCAGTGATCTCGCTGTTCTAACAGCCTGGCATCCTCTCATTCGCGAACACAGTCAGCACTTCGAATGCATAGCTTTCGCTGAATGACACGGAGGTCGAGACACGCTGGAGTGATTCAGCTTGGGCTCATAGCCCAGCCACCGACAAGGTACCTCGACTGCCAATCACAAATCGCGAACAAGGGGCACCTGTGACGCCCGAACCTACAAATGGTGGGGGTTCATCAAGGTTTTGAGGCTCGCCAAACCTGGATCATGCCTAAAGGTTTGATTCATAGGTTCCATACCAATCAGGCTGACGGGTTCGGGCTGGGGTGCGGCTTCACCCGTTATGACCGTGACTTCGCTTCACAACAAAGCTTCGTTCCTTTTCCGAAGCAAACTGCTCCTATTACATGCAAAAGTCAAACAGCGCTTTAATGCCTAAATATATGCCTATCTATGCCAACTTGATAGTTACTAGGTCCACGAAGGTCGCTTGACAAACTTGTTCAGATTCATCTTATGGAGAGTCGTGAGGACTCCATCGGCCTGTGCCGGTCCATGTGCTGGATGTGGCGAGTTTGGATCAGTGGGAGTAAGAGCTCCAACAGGGAGCCAAAGGCTAGCGCCACAGCCACTGCCGCTGCTGCTGCTGCTGCTGCTGTTGGAGAAGCTGGAGCTGCTTCTGCCGCTCTCGATGCTGTCAAGGCTGTCACCACTGTCATTCCGCACAATATCCTGCTGTTGGGCCGACCTTTCTCCCTCACGGATCCCCCAGTGCTGTGCCGTCTTCTCATCATCCTTCACCATCATCTTGCCATATGTCTCATGGTCATAGGTCCACGTGGATCGCCCTCCAAACGCCTGCTCAAGGCTGTCCAGGTTGAAAACCTCCTCGAGCTTCTTCACTGTTTCCGACTTGGACGGATTCACAAAGAGGATCTTGTTGAATGTAACGGGGTCAATGAAGGGACGGATCACCTGCCAGGGAGGATGGGGACAAGAGGTAGGCATGAGACGGATTCACAAAGAGGATCTTGTTGAATGTAACCCGGGCAATGAAGGGCGAATCACCTGCCAGGGAGGGTGAGGACAAGATGTAGTCGAGATAAGGATTGTTCTATAATGAGTGACCTAATGTTCTGCCTCTATAACCACCCACACGGCAGTACGTACTATTGAAGAGAATATAAGCATTGTATGTTGTTGTCCAATTAGCTCTAACCAAGGATCGTACGCACCTTCCAAAAAGCCTCAAAGACGCCGGGAGGGTTGTAGATGACAGCAGCGCCGAGCCTCTCGGGGTAATGGTTCTGGAGAATGCTCAGCACCTCGCGAGCCGTCTTGAGGGGCGGTGCCTTGCGCATGCTCCACCCACGGAAGTCAATCAGCCACACCATCTGCTCCTGCTCCCCATGCTCTAGCTCCTCTCCCTGCTCGCCCTGGCATGGTCCCTGCCCCTGCCCTTGCTGCTGCTGCTGCAGCTGCTCGCGGGCAGTGGCAGGCAGGTTCATGACGGCATTCTCAAGGCAGTACACCAGATGGCGCACCTGACCAGCGTGGTCCTTGGTGTTCTGCGGTGCAAGGGAAGGCACACAGACGCACAAATGAGTGGACAGCCCCTGCACTGCTGCTGCTCCTGCTGCTGCTTCGGGGCTTTACATGACGGCAGGCAGGTTCATCGCGGCATTCTCAAGGAAGTACCCCAGATGGCGCGCCTGACCCGCATGGTCCTCGGTGTTCTGTGGTACAAGGATAAGAGAGCATGGGAAGGCAGTTTGCAATGCTGGGCCTGGGTGCAGTGATGCATGAAATGCGGAGAGATAGGCCACTCTGCTTTCGTACTCACCTGCTGGCCTGCGGACAGCACCACCTTAGTGGCCCTGCTTGTCCAGAAATGCCACTCTGTATGTAGCGCCTTGCTTCTTCTCCTGTATACCTTGCCCCCTTCTTTATCCGGCTCATAGCTCACCTGCTGGCCTGCGGACAGCACCACCACCGACTGGTCCAGAAACGCCGCTCTGTACACCTCGAGACACTTCGCCACAGAGCGGCCCTTATCTTCTGTACACCTTGCCCCCTTTTTTATCCGGCTCATAGCTCACCTGCTGGCCTGCAGACAGCACCACCACAGAGCGGCCCTTCTTGTCCAGAAACGCTGTTCGGTACACCTTGCCCGTCTCGCCCTCCTCTGCGACGTCAGCCTGCAATCACCGAAGTGCACCGATCAGATGTGGATTCGATAGAGAGACAGTGAGAGGTGCAGATGAGGCGGCCATGGGAGGTGGCGATGGGAGGTGGGGATGGGAGGTGGCGATCGGAGATAGTGCGTAGTCCACTGCAGTGCCCGGAGTCTCGCCCCCCGCCACGTCAGCCTGAAATACGGCAGAAATAGAAGAAACGCCGTAGTGGCGGGGATGCATGCTAAACAATTGAGAATGATATAGGGGGGGGCGTTGAAAGGGGGGGGGTTTGGGGAGGAGGGGGGGGGGGGAGATGAAGTGCGTCAAGCTGGTCCCTCCAGCCAGCACCCACCACCATATTGACTCGTGGGCAGTAGATGAAACGAGAAGTGGTGGCAATGACTTCGCTGCGGACGACGACGAGTTTTGGGAACCAGTGGGTCTGCGTTGGGAACGAAAACGCGTGTCGCCATACGAACGTGTGTGCGCGCTTACGAATGCACGTACCCACATGTCCTCCGGCCGGCATTCGCCTCGCCATTTCAGCGTGCCTCGCTCGTACCAGGCGCTCGGCGCGCTGCTCGTCGCCAGTTGCGAGCAAAGAGGGGAGCACAATCCTCCGCTTATGAAACTCTTTAACAAGACTCTCTAGATTGCTCCACATACCCATTGAATCTCTTCAGGCCGGCATTCGTCTCGCCACCTGAGTGTGTCCCGCACCATGCGCTCGGCGCGCTGCACGTTCCAGTTGCGCGCGCGCAAGTAGCGGCGCAGGCAGGCGTCGGTGCAGAATATCTGCGCTCGCTTGGGGAGGGGACAGAGGGACGCTAGCAGCTCATTCACCTGCGAAGCGGAAGGGAAGAAGAGGCAAATCCAAGGGGGTCACAAGAGAATGTCAGTTGCGCGCGAGCAGGCAGTGGGGCAGACAGGCGCCTCTGTGGAAAAGATTCTCGCTTGCTCGGGGAGAGGACCGAGGCAAGCTCGCAGCTCCTTCACCTGCGACAGGGAAGGGCAAGGGAAGGGAAAGGGAAAGGGCAAGGGCAAGGGAAGGGCCAGGCCAGTGCAAGAGCAGTGCAAGATGGTGTCAGTCCCGGGAGCGCAGGTAGCGGTGGAGATAGGCGCCCGTGCAAAAGATTTCCGCTCGCCTGGCTCGCCTGCGCAGACAGACCGAGAGATGCTCAGAGCTCCTTCACTTACAGCCACAGCGACCATGCTGCCGAGCCATGGATTAACAGCGGACCGTGCGGATCGTACGAGGGACCGTGTCAGTGACCACGTTCTGAACTCGCTCCTTTCTCCGACGGCTCTATTAAAAACCTCTATTTTCAACACAGTGCATGACCTTCTCTACTATAATAGAGGCTGCTAACCTTGAAGGCGTGACGCAGCTTGTGTATGAGGAGTAGTCAAGGGAGATCAGAGGAGGAGAAGTGGCATGTAGCAGCTTCTTAACTAATCAGTCACCTTGGATCCAAACCTAATAACAACGTCAGGGGGGCTGCATTCTCCTCTTCTCACGCTTTTTTAAGTGTGCTACGCCCTGTGCTACGCCCTGTGCCAGCCTTACTACTCCGAGAATTCCGAGAACTAACCTGAACGTCCTGCTCGCCAGGCGTCAGCGCGGCAGGCTTGTCCTTCTCGAATCGAACATCTCCTGGCTCTGCGCCACGCCCTGCGCTATACTTTTCTAATGGTACGAAGTCTGCTTATAACGAGTAAATTTAGGAATTCACCTTAGCGTCCTGCTCGCCAGGCGTCAGCGTGACCGGCTTCTCCTTCTCGAACATCTGCTGGCTCTGCGCCACGCCCTGCGCTACAGCCGCCTTCAGCGCCGCGACCTTGGTCTGGCTGAACGCCTCCCACTTTCCCGCGAAGGCCGCCATTCGGTTCTCCCTAACCGCCACTCCTCCTTCCATCGCGCTCGAGATGTGCGTTTCTTGGAATAGCTGGAGTTTATCGCGGATACTACAGTTCTTTCAGGTTCTGGTCTAGTGGGCAGGAGCGGTAGGGGTGCAGAGCAATGGTAGGGGCTAATGGAACCGTACCGTCAGTGAGTAGAGAGCTATTACGTGAGTGCAACAGTGCTGCTGTTATCGTTTTCAGACGGGAAAGAGCGGTGCACGCTATTTGTCCGCGACGGGACTGTTGGCCTCAAAACAAATAAGTCGATCTGTAAATGACGTGACCTTGCACCTGAGAAGGCGGTGTGCTGGAGCCTAGTATTCGAGCAGCTCAAATTTCAGAACTGCGCGAGTGAACGAAACCCGAGGAGTGACGGAAATATGGGACGAGGAAACTTCGAAGGTGAGGAGGTTTGGTTGCTGTGGGGGAGAGGGAAGGGAAAGAGCTCAAGGGGACTGGGTGGGGTGACCTGACGTGAGTCGTGACGTCTGGTGTGGAGTGGAGTGGAGGTGCCGAAAACTACGCCTAAGGGGAGCGCCACGTGGTTTTTCCGTTTTGCGGCCGATAATTTGCGGCCTGGCGGTGAGGAATTTGGCCAACGACGAAATTCAGAGCGGTTCGTAGTGCTTTAGCTTGGTTTCCCGGGTAATAACAAACATTTTGTTTCAATCCGAGTTACGTCATTCTTGCTCTGAAAAATATACGGGGCTTTTTCAAAATTCAAACAGAATGTGGTCATACAGAAAGTTTGGGGACATGCGGATCAGTGGCCTGGCCGCAAGAACCATACTGCAGCTTAGGGCAGGTCTTGGTTTGAAGACCTTGAGAGAGCGCTGCCTGAACAACACTTGAAATCCCTGATCCCAGTGGAGGGGTCTGGCTAAAACCAAAACCAGCACACGCTGGCTGACGGTACCGAACGCTAGCCGTAGGTTCCGAGTGGACGCAAGCAGTTTCCGTTCCGTCAAGGCGATGAAGAAATGACGAAGCGAAGCGATGTGTTCTGTATGCCGTTGACGGTTTTGGCGGGAGCAGCTTGATTGGCGACGCGAGGAATTCCCATCAGATTTGGAGGGAGTGAAAGTGTGGGTGACGTCAGCTTCTGCCCCTCGATTCCCTAAATTAGCCGACTGTGCATGTAAGTTTGTTCAATATTGTACTTTTAGTTACTCTCATCTGTAGAACACTCGGAGCTAAATTCGTATCGAGGATTTCCCAAGCAGGCATTTGGCGCCTCGGTGTAGTGTTTCTGACACAATATCATCCCAAGCCGAACAAAAGCTGGGAACCATGTTCTGAGAGGTAGGTAGTTCCTACTCTCGCCTTGCGGTAGTTCGGGCTTGTTGAAAGCGACGAAGCTATTGTAGATCGAATGGTTTCGTGCCTGACACGCCGGGTTCTCTGACGATTCTACGAAGCAAACATTCTGCCAAGACAGTTTAGGACTAGCAAACATTATGTAATTTCAGGCCAGGGTCTCGAAACCCCTACCTTACTTGTCGAGCCTTCGACACGATTCGTAGCTTCTGAGCAGGCTCTTGGGCGAGCATTCACGATCTTTAACGATTCCGCGAAATGAGGAGGGGCGGTGCGCGGGCTGATATGAGTAGAGGGATAGTGATCGTTACTCCTGGACTCGACGCTGTATTCAAGGCAGCCAGGGCATCAGGGACTCTCAACCTTTCGGGAAACGATCTCAAGTACGAAATCATACCTCCAGTAAAATTTTAAATGTTTTCAAAATCGGCGGAATGCCAATCCAGGTTATCCGAATCCAGATTGGGGGGAATGCATTCTCAACACGCCCTTTCTTTGCGCGCCAAGCATTCTGTCAACTCGGAAAAAAATCGCAGTTTTTGGTTTTCGGACGAAAATCATATAACCGTGTTTTCTTCCTAGTGTCTGTTTCAAAGCGATTTCCCTTTTGTCGGTCGGTTATTTCAGAATTCTCAATAGAAACGAGTGGTTTGTGCAACTTCATGTCCCTCCCCTCTTCATCAGTCCCTCCTGCCATCATGTCAAACGGCTTCTCTGAGAACCATTTCGTATCGTCCCCATCAATTCAGTCATTTTCCGTCGTATTGTTTTTACCATGCTGCGTGTCTCAGGGAAGTGCCTCCCGAGGTGTACTCGCTGCTGGATGACGTCCCCCAAACCGAGAAATGGTGGGAGGTGCGTTAATAACGGGGATTGCGTTGACAGTGGTCAGTGCGTTGACGGTGGTCAGTGCGTTGACGGTGGTCAGTGCGTTGACGGTGGTCAGTGCGTTGACGACTGTCAGTGCGTTGACAGCGAATGGTGTGTGTGCCCTGACTGTGGTAGGTGTGTCCATAGTGAAAGATGTGTGTTGATACTGATGCTGCCTTGATCAGAGAATCGGTGGAGGCGCGTTGGAAAGGGACTTGTGTTAATAGAGTACTGAGAGGGATATGCATTGATGAGTGCGTCGGCAACTTGGCAGCATTGCACACGCAACACCATCGCACTGATTCGTACTCCTCTTCTTCCTTCTCTTTTTTTTTTTTTTTTTTTCTTTTCTTTTCTTTTTTCGTTTTTCTAATTTCATCCCTCCCCCGCTCTCCACTGCCTCGTAGAAGCTGCTGTTGTCTCAAAGCTCTCCCTTCTCCTCCCGTCTCCCCCCATCTCCCCCGTTCCCCCCCCCTTCTCCCCCCATCTCCCTCCAGTCCGTGGAGCTGCAGAAAGTGCTTCTCTCGCAGAACAGCCTCACCCAGGTCTCGGAGGAGATCGGCCGCCTGCCGTGCCTCACGTGGATCGACGTCAGCTACAACGCGCTGGCTCGCCTGCCCGCTGCCATTGGCAAGTGAGTGGGTGGAGTGATGGGTGGAGTGATGGGTGGAGTGATGGGTGGAGTGATGGGTGGAGTGATGGGTGGAGTGATGGGTGGGGTATGGGCCGAGTGAGTGTGCCGAGTATGATATGCGGTGCATGGTGCATTGTGCTTGCGGTATGGGGTATGATGCATGGTTCATGGGGGAGTGGTGTATGTTGCATGGGGTACGTTTCATGGTGCATGGGGGGGATGGTACATGGTGCATGGGGCATGTTTCATGGTGCATGGGGGGGGGGATGGTGCATGGCGCATGGGGCATGTTTCATGGTGCATGGGGGGGATGGTGCATGGCGCATGGGGTATGGAAGAGGATAGTCAGCTGCTGCGTCTGGCGTGCTTTGGATGGGCGTCAGCCACAATCTGCTGACTCACCGGCCGGCTGCTGTTGTCAGGTGAGGAGCTCAAGGCATGTGGGTTATGGGTTATGGGTAAGGCACCCGGTGCAACAAGCACCCATGTCAGTGCCACCACAGCGCACAGCTTGTAGGTTGTCAAAGGCCATCGCAGCAGCCACTTCCTCTCTCCCCTCTTAGCACGTGAAGGACTCCTTCATTCCCCGTGTGACTCCCTTTTCTTCCATCCCCCTCCCTCCCGCCCTTTGTTTCCACACAAACTGGTGGAGCTCAAGAGCCTGCTGGCGAGCCACAACAAGCTGGGGGCTCTACTTGAGGAGACAGGTATTATGGTGAAGCACGTGAAGGACACCCTCACTCCCTGTGTACCTCCGGTTGCTATCTCCCGTTCCTCTCCCGTCCTCCCTTAATCTGTGCGCAGGCTGGTGGAGCTCAAGAGCCTGCTGGCGAGCCATAACAAGCTGGAAGCTCTGCCCGAGGAGATAGGCGGTGCAACGAACCTGGTCAAGTGAGTGCAGCGAACCTGGTCAAGTGAGTGCAGCGAACCTGGTCATGTGAGTTACTTGAAGTCGGGGGATCTGACCTACAGTCAAATGGGTACCTCCTGCTGAAGAGCGTTGACCTGTAAGTCCCTTTTGCAGCATCTTGCCTCCCAACTTCTTGCGCTGCTTTAGACTGGGTTGACAAATACGCCCTCACGAGGTGAATTTTGAGTTGACTCAAAAGTCACTATGTTATGCTTTAGACTACGCCCTCACGAACTTCCGTATTTTATCGAATTTGTGAGTCTGCTACCCATGTCGTGGCTTTTCCTGTAACTGCTGGCCGTCCCACGTGCAGGCTGGACGTGTCTCACAACGCGCTGGAGAGCCTCCCTCTGGGACTTGCCTCATGCACGCTGCTCGCCCACCTCGAGGTCTGCCTGCCAGCCCTTCTCCCCCCCTCTCCCCTCTCCCCTCTCCTGCTCCACTCTCCTTCCCTCCCACGTTCCATCCATCTCCTCCTGCACGCTCCTTGCCCACCTGGCGGTCTATCGCACGCTCCCCTCCCTCTCCGCACTTCCCCACTCGCCCTTGCCACCCATCTCCTCACTCATCAAATGTGCCACCACTCTCCTCACTCATCAAATGTGCCACCACTCTCCTCACTCATCAAATGTGCCACCACTCTCCTCACTCATCAAATGCGCCACCACTCTCCACAGCCAGAGAACCGTGACAGCCGAAGGAGCCAACCGGCCTGCTTCTTTGACAGCTAGCCACGCATAGTCTAATGTTAACTTCGTAACAGGTGTCTTGTCCTTTCCAGCGCTCTCTCTCCCATCCCCTGCTGGCCAGCACCAACTGCAACGCCTCTCTGCCTGCCTGCTTGGCTGTCTGCACCACTCTCCCTGCGCTCTCGTCCCTGCGCTCTCCTCCCTGCGCTCTCCTCCCTGCGCTCTCCTCCCTGCGCTCTCGTCCCTGCGCTCTCCTCCCTGCGCTCTCGTCCCTGCGCTCTCGCCCCTGCGCTCTCCTCCCTGCGCTCTCGTCCCTGCGCTCTCCTCCCTGCGCTCTCCTCCCTGCGCTCTCCTCCCTGCGCTCTCGTCCCTGCGCTCTCCTCCCTGCGCTCTCCTCCCTGCGCTCTCCTCCCTGCGCTCTCGTCCCCGCGCTCTCCTCCCTGCGCTCTCGTCCCTGCGCTCTCCTCCCTGCGCTCTCCTCCCTGCGCTCTCCTCCCTGCGCTCTCGTCCCTGCGCTCTCCTCCCTGCGCTCTCGTCCCTGCGCTCTCGTCCCTGCGCTCTCCTCCCTGCGCTCTCCTCCCTGCGCTCTCGTCCCTGCGCTCTCCTCCCTGCGCTCTCCTCCCTCCGCTCTCGTCCCTGCGCTCTCCTCCCTGCGCTCTCGTCCCTGCGCTCTCCTCCCTGCGCTCTCCTCCCTGCGCTCTCCTCCCTGCGCTCTCGTCCCTGCGCTCTCCTCCCTGCGCTCTCCTCCCTGCGCTCTCGTCCCTGCGCTCTCCTCCCTGCGCTCTCCTCCCTGCGCTCTCCTCCCTGCGCTCTCGTCCCTGCGCTCTCGTCCCTGTGCTTTCCTGTTTCACCGTGTCTGGACAGTCTTGCTGCTTCTCCTTTCCCCATCCCCTGCAGGCCAGCGCCAACCGCATTGTCTCTCTGCCGGCCTCCTTGGCTGCCTGCACGGCGCTCTCTCACCTCAACCTTGAGGTGTGCTTTGCTTTGCTTTGCCTTGGCTCATGTGTCACCCTGGATTGAGATCGAGATCTGCCTGCACGGCACTCTCTCACCTGAACCCTAAAATGGACTGGACTGGTTATTGGACTGGTTATTGTTCACCCTAGAATGTGCTTCGATTAGGAGTAGAGTCGGCTCGCACTGCTCTTTCTCATTTCAACCTCGAGGTATCCTCCTTTGGTGTGCTTTCGCTTGCATGCTTTTGACTAGACTGATTTCCCGTAGTGTATACCTTTTCTCAGAAGTAAGATTAGCCTGCACTCGTTCTCACCGTGTCTTTATAGAGGTGATTTCACATACATGCACGTGTGTAGGGACGTGCGTTGAGGCGTTTTTTGTTCTGCGCCTTGAGAGATGTGTGTGAGTTGAGTCCGACTTTTGAGTCGGCTCAAAAGTCACCTCATTTTGTTGTTCTGCGCCTGGAGAAATGTGTTCGAGTCTGTTTGAATGTGTATTTCACTTCAATAGAGTCACTTTTTTCAAAGTTCCATGCCGTTTTCTCCCGTACCCTGCCGAACAGCAAGCTAGAGAGCATTGGCTCTCCTTTCCACATATGCCTTGGCGTTTTCTATATCACAAAATCAAGTGCCGCTTCCCTCCTTCCCTCCCCTCCCGTCCCTCCTCCCCCTTCCCTCCCTCCCCCCTCTCCCCCCACTCCCCCCTCTTCCCTCTCTGCCCTCTCTGCCCTCTCTCCCCTCTCTCCCCTCTCTCCCCACGCCCCCCAGAACAACCTGCTGCAGAGCATCCCTTCGCCTCTGTTCTCCTCTCTCCGCAACCTCAGGCATCTCGACCTGGGTAGTACATCCATCCATTCATCCATCCGTGCCTGCTGAGCCACAGGCATTTCGTTTGTTGACCTTGGTATAGCATCCATCCATGCCTGTTGCTCAGCATGCTCTTCACGCCTCTACCATGTCACCAATCTTTTTCTTCAACTCTGGACTTAACTTGGTAGCCTCAGGCGAATTGGCTAAAGCAACAGCCAGCCAGAGGGCACAATTCGCCAACCTGGTCCTGTGCCCATTGTGAGCATACACACAGCCTGCTGTGTCTTCCACATTCCACTCCCTTGGCTTCAATTCATGTAGCATGTGTCTCAGGGCTTCAATTCATGTAGCATGTGTCTCGGGGCTTCATGACATGCGCCCTGTGCGCTCATTGCCTCACGTTCTTCCTTCTCGCCTCGTCCACCCCTGGCAGATCGCAACCAGCTGCAGTCTCTCCCATACGACACTGGCGGCCTCTCATCCCTCATCCACATCCCTTGTCCCCTTCCCCCTCCTCCCTTCCTCTTTCCCCCCTCCCTTCCTCCCCCCCCGCCTCTTCCACCCCTTTCAGGTCGCAACCAGCTGCAGTCTCTCCCAGACGACATTGGCAGCCTCTCATCCCTCATCCACCTCAATGCCTTCCAGAACTGTGCGTGATGCGAGGACCCCCCTCAATGGCTGTGCTGTGCTCGCATGGAGCCCTCTTTGACATCTTTGTGCCTATAGACCCTACCCATCTCTCGTCTCACGTCCACCCACATCAATGCATTTCGGAAACGTGCGCCTCACACGCCCTACAGTTTTCAACCGTTCAGGTTTAGGGTTTCAGGTTTAGGATACTATCGAGGGCCCATACATGTCTTCGAGTTCCTGCATGTGGTTAGAGCCCAGTTCCTCTCTGCACTCCGTTCTTTGTACTCTCGGAATTTTGTACTCCCCACCGCTGCGCCTCATTCTTCTGGCTTCTGGAGTGCTGGGAATCGGCTTCGGAAGGCCCTTGAATCGTGCACTCTCTGCACTAATCCTCGTGTTTTACTCTGTATACTCTTCGTGTGCTCTCGCCATATGCTCTCGCCACATGCTCTCGCCACATGCTCTCGCCACATGCTCTCGCCACATGCTCTCGCCACATGCTCTCGCCACATGCTCTCGCCACATGCTCTCGCCACATGCTCTCACCACATGCTCTCCTCGCATGCTCTCCTCCCATGGTCGTCTCCTCATCTCTCCCGCCCCCACCTCTCCGTGCCTGCAATCCTCCCTCCAGGCCTTGTGTCCATTCCATCCACCATCAGTGGCTGCACCTCCCTTCTTGAGCTGCACTTGGGGTACGTTGAAGTTGCACTTGGGGTACGTTGAAGTTGCACTTGGGGTACGTTAAAGTTGCACCTGGGGTGCGTTGAAGTTGCACCTGGGGTACATTGAAGTTGCACCTGGGGTACGTTGAAATTGCACCTGGGGTACGTTCAAGTTGCACCCTGGTTAGGTTGAAGTTGCACCTGGGATTCGTCGAAGTTTCACCTGGGGTACTGGGGGTACATTCGGTGCACAAGCTTATGACCACTACTCTTCCGCTTCCTCATTGGCTATATCCTCCCCTCCCCCTCATTCCGCCACATATTCCTGCTGTTCCTCCAATAGTCCTCCCCAGTGATCTTTCTCGCCTCTCCCCTTACGTTCACACACTTCCCCTCGTCTCCCCCTTGTTCAGTAGCTCTCCCCTCTCATCTCTCTCCCCTCTCCCATTTCTTTCGCACCCTCCCTCTCATCTCCCCCTGGTCCCAGTCGCAATAAGCTGAAGCAGCTGCCGAGCGAGATTGGCCATCTCCCTTCGCTCGTCACTCTCTCGGTTCCCTCCAACAAGGTGTGTCGACCGCCCCTGCATTTAGGTGGCCTCTCTGTTCCCTCTCCGCCCACCCTTTCTATCCACCCACCGCCTGAGCATACAAGCTTTGGATGTCTCTCACAATGACTTCCACCACCTTCAACCACTCTTTTTCTGACCATCTTCTCCTCCCCACCCACTCTTTCCCTCACCACCTTCTCCTCCCCGCCCTTCCCACACACCTCTACTACCAGCTCGAGGACCTTCCCCCTTCTATTCGCCGTCTCAAGATCCAAGCGCTTGATGTCTCTGACAATGATCTGCCCACCCTTCCCGCCTGGCTTGGTATGCCCACCCTGCCCACCTGGCTTGGTATTCCCAAACTTGCCCACCTGGCTCGGTATGCTCAAACCTGCCCACCTGGCTCGGTATGCCCAAGCCCGCCCATGTGGCTCGGTACAGTTCCATGGTTCTATTTTGGTTTGTTTCATGTCCATCAGGTCAGCCATGTTGGCTGCATCTGTGTGTTGCCCTCCAGTCCCTCCGTTCATCTCTATTCAAGTGTTAGTAATTTCGCTTTGAGTCGAATCAAAACAAGATTACTAACACACAGAATCCACTCCGTTCATCGCCATCCAACCCAACCCACTCACGACTCTATACATCCTTTTCCTTCAGGCTGCATGGCATCCCTGCAGAGGGTCGCAGCAGCGGGCAACCCTATCAGGACCATTCGAAGGTGCAGCGCCGCTGTTCTGATGCCTTCCATCCCTCCCCCCGTTCTGATGCCTTCCATCCCTCCCCACCATGAACCACCGGCCCCACCATGAACCACCGGCCCCACCATGAACCACCGGCCCCACCATGAACCACCGGCCCCACCATGAACCATGTTTGATTTGACCTCGTCGCCTCATCGCCTCATCGCCTCATCGCCTCATCGCCTCATCGCAGCCCCCACAGCCCCCACAGCCCCCTCATCAATGGCCCCACCAAGCCAAGAACCTTCGTTTGACTACCTTAGCTCCTGCGTCGTTCTTCCCTTTTCCTCCCATCCCTTCTCATCACACCCCTTCGCCTGTCTCCCTTGGCCTTCCACATTTCGCCCCTTTTCCGCTCACCTCTCAACCCCTTTGCCTCTCACCTCTCACATATTTGCCTCACCCCTTCACCTTTCCCCCCACAGCACGCTGATCAACGGCCCTGCCAAAAACCTTCTTGACTACCTTCGCTCCCCGCCCCTTTCCTCCCATCCCTTCTCCTCTCACCCCTTTGCCTCTTGCCTCACCCCCTCACCCCCTACAGCACGCTCATCAACGGCCCTGCCAAGAACCTTCTTGACTACCTTCGCTCTCGCATGCCAGCCACTTCCCCTGCTGACGATGATTCAGGTGTGAACTGCCTCAGATAGAAGAGCCTGCAGATAGAACCTGCCTCAGGTAAAACCCAATCAACGGTCCCACCAAGAAGCTTCTTGACTACCTTCATTCCCGCATGCTAGCCACTTCGCCTGGTGATGATGATTCAGGTGCGAACTGCCTCAGATACAGGCCTACAGGTAGAACCTGCTCCAGGTAAAACCCAATCAACGGCCCCACCAGTAACTCCTTGACTACCTTCACGTGGTGCAGGTATTACGTGATCCAGGGTTATTTGATCCAGGTGTTAACTGCTCCAGGCTCAAGCTGGTCCAGGTGCCAGGTCTCCTTACACTGCTGGGCAGATGTAAATCCATATCCGCTGTCTTCTCCGTTTCTCCCTTCCCCCCTGCTTCTGGCCAGACACTGCAAGCGCTGCTGCTGCTGCTACACCACGTGAGCCGATTCAAGAGCCGCCTGCTGCTGCTGCTGCTGCTTTACCTGCTGCACAGGCTGTGCCTGCTGCCCCTGCTGCAGAGGCTGCAAGGGTGCCACAGAAATCGCAATTGGGGCAAAGCGAAGAGATGAGGGGTGGAGGGATGGGCGGAGAGGAGGGAGCGGGAGAGGATGGTGCAGATGGGGGGGAGGCCGGTGCAGCAGCGACAGTGGTCGCAGCAGTGGCAGAGCCATGGCTGAGGGAGTGCTTTGAGGGAGGGGTGAGTGGAATGGAAAGATGCTCGATGGGGTGTGAGGTCAGTCACTAGGGATTCCTTTCAAAGAGTAATCTCTTTTGATTTGAGCCGACTCACAAGTTGGTTGTTTAACAGAGTGATCTTTGGAGTCGACTGTTTAGCAGGTTTCACAGAGTGATCTGACTTGGCACCTCTCTGTCTGCACCAAGATTGTTTTCATAATGGGGATGAAACGAAAGTGAACCGCCACCCTTTTTCTCCCTCTCTCAACGTCGCAGGCCCTCCACCTGTCAAAGAAGAGCCTGACAGAGCTGCCACGTGGCGTCATGGCATTGGCTGCTGGAGACATCCCTCTGACGTCCGTCAATGCTTCTAGCAACGCCATCACCTCCGTGCCCTCGCACCTATCAGATTGCACCGCCCTCACTGTGAGAACCCATCCCCTCACCCATCCCCTCACCCATCGCCTCGCGTCCATGAACGCTTCAAGCAACGCCATCCCCTCCCTGCACTCCCTCCGCTCTGCTTGCGCCGTTCTCACTGTCAGCATGCATGCACTCACTCACTTTATTTCACCCCTTTATGGTCAGAGGACCAGTTTGATACCAGTTTGTTTTATGTGTTGAACCTCGAGCATAAACACGGTGCTGCCACCAACCCATCTTGGTGGTGTGTGTTTTCTAGAGAATTGGTGGTGCCTCAAAAATAGACGCCACCAACCCATCTTGGTGGGGTGTTGTGTTCCTTCCATCTTGGTGGGGTGTTGTGTTCCTTCCATCTTGGTGGGGTGTTGTGTTCCTTCCATCTCTGCTCTCTCTTGGTCACCCATGTGTGTGCCCTTGCCTTTTTTAGTCACCGTCCAATCTTTCTCAGCTCTTGTGAAATATTTTCTACCCCTTGCAAGTCCCTGTTTCTATTCTATCTTGCAACTCCTTCCTTACATCCCCTTGCCCTGAACAAGCTTCTGCATGCTGTTGCCTCCTTTTTGTCAAATCCATGTTCCGTCATCGTTTTTGCCTATTGTAACTCCCTGATCACTCACTATTTCTGCCGTCATTCCACATCGTCAGCCCTCAATGCCCCCACAATGCCAATCAGGAGCTAGACCTGTCAGTCAACAGGATCACATCCTGGCCGTCTCTCTGCCTGCGCTCGCTCCCAGCCCTGCGCACTCTCTCCCTCGCCAACAACCCCCTGGGACAGGTCGGTGCCTGGGACAAGTGGGATCCGGGTCAGGTTTTTTATGGGACAGGTGGGATCCGGGTCAGGTATTTATGGGACAGGTGGGGCCTGGGGCAGGTGAGAGACTTGTAGCGCATGAAGCCTCGGGCAGGCGAAATCTGGGGCAGGTGAGGAAGGAACCCCCTGTGGCAGGCGAGGACATAGAGAGATAGAGATAGAGATAGAGGACCCAGGTTTCAGCAATGTACGCACAGGGATGGTCCTGTACGGACCGCTTGAGGTACAGGATGCCCCGCACCTCAGCACACTCTTGAGATCCCTCTTGCTGCCACGGGCCGACAGACCGCCATGTCTCACCAGAAGTTTTCCTTCGTTGCGGCACTCTTCATGCTTGTGCTGCCCTGTATGTTTTGAGTCGACTCAAAACACACGTTGCGGCGCTCTTCATGCTCGTGCTGCCCTGTATGCCTCCCTCTCCGTCCCAGCTGCCCCTATCAGCACCGGAGGACGTCCCAGCCCTGCTGCACCTGAACCTCTCCTCCTGCTGCTCCGCGCCCTCTTCGCCTCTGCTTGCACCATCCTTCTCCCTGGCCGGCTTCTCCCGCCTCACAGAGCTGCACCTCAGGTAGAGAACGTGCGCGGGGGTGACTGAACGTTTCGAAATGAATAGCAAAGGTCATCTTACGCCTGACTTAGGGACACGCCTCCCCCGCCGCACTAGGATGGACCTCAGGGAACGAAGTGAATACAATTGCGAAGGTAATAATGTTGCGCCCCAGTTGACAAATGAGCCTATTTTTTAGGCGCCTCAAAAATAGCCTCCCCTGCCGCACTAGGTTCCACCTCAGGGAACGAAGTGCATAGAATCGCCAAGGTCATAATGTTGCGCCCCAGTCGACAAATGCACCTGGTGTTGAAAGTAATGCTCTGTTTGCGACTTGCCATCATTGATCTCAGCTGCCACCATTCCGAACTTGCTTCAGTGCATACTCCCTTGTAACACCCCTCACGACCATTGCACCTGCACCCCACCTCACCTCACCAAGTCTCACCTCACCTCTTCCTCATCCTCACTTGACCTCGTGGCACCACTCCCCACCTCCCACCAGGCCTTATCAACCCATTTCTTCATATCGTGTCTTGCCAACCCATGTTCCACGTGCATGTGTTTCCCTCCCAGGGGCAATTGCCTGACGACCTTCCCTCCAGGCTTTGACTCTCCCCAAACACCAGACCGAAAGGCACCGCACTGCACCTCATCTCACCTCCTCTCATCTCCTTGCACTGCACTTGACTGCCAGGGGCAACCGCCTCACCACCTTTCCTCCAGGCTTTGACTCTCTCCCTTCCCTCCGAGCACTCAACCTCTCACAGAATCAAATCGAGTCCATACCCCTTGTAAGCATGCCGTGGCGTACTGCTATAAGCACAAACTTGCACGACCCATAGAGGAACACCATTTGTCGCCTTCACAAGCACACCATGTCGTACCCCTTTTAAGCACCCCTAGTGCACTTTCTTCATGACATTTGCCCTGTGTTCCATTGCCCAGGTCATCCTGCAAGTTTCTGATGGTCCTTGTAGCCTTGTAGCCATGTGACCTTGTAACTTTGTAACCACCTTCACCACCTGAATCCCCACCAGGCGATAACCCAGCTGAGCCGCCTGGAGTCTCTCGATGTGTCGGACAACAACATTCCCATGCTGCTCCCGCAGCTCGTGAGTCCGCTTCTGTCACCTCCGCTGCTGCTGCTGCTGCTGCACTGCCTCTTCTGATTTCACGAAGACACTAAAAACGAAGCTAAATGTCATCCATCTCCTCCATCTCTCCTCCATCTCCTCCATCTCTCATCCATCTCTCATCCATCTCTCCTCCATCTCTCCTCCATCTCTCCTCCATCTCCTCCATCTCCTCCATCCGTCCATCCATGGCTTGCCGTTGCTCAAGCGGTTATCAACGGCAGTCCCCATTTTCACATCTCTCCATACCTTCTGTCGTTTTCGCTCCCCGTTCCCATAGCTCCCCCTGATTGCTCTGATTCAGGGCTTGCTGGGAACCCTTCTCTCTCTCCCCTCCTGTTCCCATGCACCTCTCTCTCTCTCTCGTTTTCCTTCCTGCGCTCCCCATGCCCACACCTCCTCCCCCTTATGGCTATCATGTGGGGCGGGCGTCATGACAAGCCTCTTTGTCCTCAGAGTCCACAGCAACATCATTCGCACATCTTTCAAATCCTTACATCGTCCTCGCTTCCTGTGCCCATATCTCTCCTTCATTGCCTTGATCCTGGGCTTGCTGGAAACGCTCTCCCTCTCTCTCTGTCAAACCCTCGGGCAACCCCATGTGCCCATTGATCCTTACCGCCCATCGCCCTCCCTTCCTGTGCCCATGCCTCTCCTTCGTCTCGTTGATCCAGGGGCTGCTGAAAACGCTCTCTCTCCTTCGAGTTGACGGCAACCCTATTCGCACGTAAGGCTGTTACTCTTTCGGTGTCACCGTCGTTGCGATTTGTAGTGATTGCGCACCTTGAATATCCCTGGAGTGCATTCATTGTTCTGCAGCTTGCATGCATTGACTTCTTTTGTTCTTTTAATGCACACTTCTTGTGCATCTTCTTTCCGTTAGTCCAATCGAGTCGCATGGTAACTTCGTGTGCTTCCCCCATCCGAAGCCCTCGTTTCACTTCTCGGCCTTGCATCCTGCGACCTGCTTTTGACTCGACCCAAATCTAGATACAGAGTGCCATGTGCCCATCCATTTCCTTGCATGTGGACACAGCTGATCTGATACTCTACTCCCAACTCCCTCAACCTGCCCTCTTCCGATTGCCACGGCAGCATCAGGTGGGGCATCATCAACGGTGGCTCCAAAGCATTGCCGGCTTACCTGATCTTTCGCTCAGTGACACACCCTCTCTCTGCCCTTACTGTTTGATTCTGCCTCCTCTCGTGTGGCTCCTCCATCACCGCATGAGCAGCATCAGGTGGAGCATCATCAATGGAGGCACCAAAGCTCTGCTGGCCTATCTTGAAGACCGCATCCCAGCTGAGGTCGCATCCATGCGCTCATGACGTACCAGTAACAGCTTTTACTACCCATGTACAAGCATGGCATACTTCACCATCCATAAACTTCTGGACCGCTCACATTGAACTGGACGACCGACAAGGGCCGCACATTGATACACGCACATATGCATCCACCATTTCCTTGTCTTATCAAACTATATCATCACTTCACAAATGCGACACAAGTTGGCATGCAGTTGGTATGGAACATTTGAATTACATGGTTTCATTGTGGCATGGGCCACTCAAGTGTAATGTCTAACTCACGTTCTCTACGTGAGGTGAAAGAATGAGGATGGTTAGGGAGAAATCAACTAGGAGCATGTGTTGTTAGTGACCTTGTGGGGCGGTTTCTAGTTCATAATCGAGGATGAGTCGTTGGCGGTGCGTAATGAATCCGAGCCCCCCTAGTTGTCCTAGGACAGCTGCCTCACAGGGTATGATTTTCATCAGCTGCCTGTAAGTGAGGAGGCCTCACTTCTCGATCATGACACCGATACTGCAGGTATCTATTCATGCACTGCGTTGCCAGGAGGACACACGGGACGGGCACTTAGCGTCTGGTTTGCAAGATACCACAACCAAGTACCACAACAGACCATTAATAAACTTATGGCACCGTACCGAACCGTCTACTTCCTAGCGAAAGTTCCCCTGAAGGCTCGAAAAGAACGACCTGGGCGCTAAGTGCCGCGTTTTGAGAATGAAATGTCCGGAGCTGCCCCTTCCTTTGAACCTTTCGGCGCTGAGCCGGTGTGATATGCGGGGGTGATTGGGCACCTGTCAAGGATTCCCTCCCAAGTAGGGGTTAGGGCGTGCCCTAAGCGTTCGTTATATTGCCAATACCCCATCGAACCGTGTTAAGGTTTTATTTGATCTTTTTGAAATGCAATCCACCTCATTCAACCGTATTTGGACGTACTTTTGGGACACGCCCTTACTGTTCGCTCTCCCCAGCACAGCACACACACCCGTGGAGAATCAACGGCGTTCAATCACAGCGTCACATGAATTGTTCATCATCACTTGATGACAATGCAGCTCACTTGCGCACGGAACGGAACACGAATCTCACGTTTCAGAATCTACCACACGCATAGTCGCGTCAGCGAGCTATTGGTTTGGTGGCAATTTCCCCAATTTCTATCGAGCCGCGTCTGTACCGAAATCGCACGAAATGTGTCCGTCCAACCAGCCATTTCTGGCAGCTCCCTCAAATCACTCATGGCCCATCTATCATTGAGAACGATAGGCTACAAATAGGTTCTTTCCGCTGCAGAGCATTCTGTGTATATTACAAGACGGTTAAATACGGTTACCTGTGAAAACGAATCCCCTCACAAGCTGCGTGGATCGAGCACAGAGCACCACATTGCAACAGGTGGCACATCTCCATTCCACCACCACAGGCGCAATTTGATTTCTTGTTTCTCCCATCCTTCTCCCTTGCATCCCCGCCCACACACCAGTTGCGCTGAACAGTTGCTTTGCTCCACGCAACTGTTGTAGGCAGAGGAAGAAAAAAACTGAGGCAAGGACAGAAACCGAGCAACGCGTCAGAGCCATAGTGGAGTCGAGAGATCCCAAACTGCTGCTACTCCTGCTGCTGCGGAACCAGGGCCCGTTTTACCGATGGCTCAGAAGTTATGGCTTTATCGACGTTTGTTGCGTCAAAGCACAGAGAGCCTCAGATATTTGTTACGCATCTTATACTCACCCACTTAGCACGACGAGAACTAAGGCCGAATCTAGCTCCTAGCTTCAAGCTCGAGTGTAAGCGACTCGATCAGCTGGTACTACCCTCCTCCTCCGTTTCGTGACTCACGTAGGTGCGAGCGTCGGACGTTCCGCCTGTCAGCGCACCGCGATGCGGCGAACACGCGAGCACTCCCAGGGCCCCGTGGGCCTTGCTCAACAGCAGACGAGCTTTCCGCCGTTTCAGCACACCGGCTTTCTAACGAACGTCGATCATTGCACAAGTAGTACAGCGAGTAGTGGCCTGGCTACTGCCGCCCTCCATCAGCATTACCACAGCTTGAATCGTCAGTCGCCGTCGTCTTCACTATACGTTGCTTCGGTACCGCGGACAAGCTCTCATTCGCCGCGGCGTCGACGCGAAGCGGCCCCGCCGCCTTCGGCGGTGGCATCGTGTGGCACGAGCCCGGCGGGGAGTCCCGCAAGCTTCCGCAGTGCGCGGAACCCTCGCGCCGCGGGCTCCCCTACGCGAGGCAGAAGCTCCCCCGCGTTTTCTCCGCGATCGGCGCCGGAAATCGTCGGCCGTGGGATCACCATGGGCCCGCCAGCATCGTCGCGGCTGTCGCGCGTGCGATGTGCGGAGCGGGTTCAGTGCGCGGAGCCCTACACCCCGCTCGTCTCGGCGAAAAGCGCGACGGAGAGTCTTTTCTCTCCGCGGTCGTCGAGCGCGGAGTCCGACGACCTTTACCCAGGTGAGCCATCATGGAGCCCGCTGTTATCTCGAGAGGGTTTCACTCGAGAGGGTCTCAACCGCTCCGGCTCGCCAGTGACACCCAGATGATGAGGTCATGTCGGTTGGATTCCCTTGAAGTTCAAGCGTTAAGGTTAAAGCAACCTTTCCACTCAAATCGCGCGGAACATAGTAAATGCCTCGCATCGTCTGACCAGCCGAAGCTTGTCGAAGCGCTGGATTCGGCTTGATCGCTATGATCTAATTGTTTCCGTCCTTCCGTCCTGACTTGGCTTGCTCTTATTCCAATCTCAGATTCTCCAATAGCAGGCTCTCCACACGACGACTTGTCGCAGCAGACGGGCCCACCTCGCATGGCACGCCACTCGGGGGAGTCATCTCACCCCAGAGAATCACCTCGCCAGACGGGTGCACGCGAGCGCAGGGGTCCAGCGGGTTACAACCTCCGTGGCGACCAACGGCAGCAGCCGTACGAGTACACCCACTGCCACACGTGGCAGGCGGGGGGACGCGAGACGGGTGCGGCAGAGACGGGGCGGGGACCGCTGGCGTCCTCAGGTAGTTGCAGAACGAATGGCCGGAATCTGGGAGTTAGTGGGGAGAAGTTGACAGGGGTGGGGAGGAGCTTGGCAGGGTCGGGGAGAAGAGCATCTGGACGGCTGTGCAGGAAGATGGAGGACGATGACGTGGAGGATCAACGGCCAGGAAAGGGGGGTGGGTCAGGGAGGCTGCACAGGAGCATGGAGGACGATGACGTGGCGGACGATGGTACGCTGCCACGTCAGCGTGCTCCAGGGGGGGTGTCACTATCCACTGCGTATGGCAACCCATCACACCGCCTCGCGAGAAGATTAGAGGATGATGAAAGACAGCAGGAGTGTAGCAGACGCGGCCAACCAATCCCTCAGGCTCAGAAAACGGCGGCAAACCAGCTTCATCGGAGCCTGGAGGACGACGAGTACTACCAGCACGGATCTACCCGAGTGCCAGCATCAGCCTCGCTCCACTCAGACGTTAGAGATTGCAGAGACTCGCTCCGTGCTGGCCGTGCTGGGAGCGCTGGCAGGGTTGCTACAGGATCCCTCTCACGGGCAGCCCAGGCAGCAGGAGCGGGCGCTGATGGTGCTGCCATAAGGCAGAGCAGCAGGCTGTGCAGGAGTCTGGAGCGGGATGAGATGGCGGCACAGGAGGCGTCCTGGCAGGAGAAGGTCGGCACTTGGCAGGTTGACGGCCTAGACTCGGCTGGCCAGCATGGCTTGGTGGGTGGGAGGAAAATGCCGAGCCATAGTGCCAGGTTCGGTGAAGTGCATGCTGAGGGTGTGACAAGTGAGGGTTGTGTGGCTGGGCGTGGAAGTGTGCGTGGTGGGCAGAGGGAAGGGGAGCAAGGGCCGGGTGTGCAGGGGAAGAGGCAGCCCATGAGGCCGTGTCGGAGCTTGGAGGAGGATGACAGGGAGGATGGTATAATGGTTGGTGGCAAAAGCAAGTCATCTGGGAGGTTAGAGAGAAGGCTGGAGGATGATGAAGATGATGATGATGAGGGCACAAACGGGGCATCGGGAGAGCTTCAACAGCTACATAGAAGGCTTGAACGTCATTTGTCGGACGATGATGACGATGAGGAAGATAGGGCCGTGTACATAAAAAGTCGAGAAAGTAACGGCCAAGTTACAAGCAAGGAAGTGAGGGGGCATGGGCAAGCTGGAGCAGAGAAGGATACGCATAAGTCCAAGGGGCTGATAAAGAGGTTATTCATCTTTCAGAGGGACTGATGCTCCCTTGAAACCCTTTCCGCCAGGGTTCTCCTTGCAAAAAATACCTGTCTGATGGATCGGACAAGGTTTGTGCATTTTGTCTGATGCACTGTTCAGGATCAGAGAAATCTTAAATCCTTGTATGATTTTGCAGAGAAACCGAAGAAAAGTGTCTGATTTTCCAGATACACCAGGGATGCCGTTTCAAATATGTGTGTGTGTGTGTTTTTTTTTTGGGTTGCGGAGCAACCTATTGCAATCGATCGGGCAGGTTTTTTTTTCAAGTTTGTGAAATAAAAATTAAATGTTTTTTGTGATGGAAATAAAACATTTTATGTATAATAAAGTCTCATCATGAAATGCTCCGCAACCCTAAGACGATCTCGTCGCCTCTTGTTTTTGTTTTTGTTTTTTTTTGTTTTTTTGTTTTTTTGTTTTTTTTCCAATCAGAATTCGGTGTCAAACATGTGTATTTGTTATGTTTGCATAGACTGTACAGGGTCATCTCTTAGAGGGTACAACACTTAGGTATATCTATCTGTACTCTCACCCTACCCATTATTCACTTCTCTAATTCTGATATGGTATCACGCGTAGGTTAGGATCCCCCCCACCTACCGCTTCCGCTCGTTCCCTAGCTAGGCCCCGCCGCGCCTCCCCCCGACCCCCTGGGCCCCGTCGTGCCCCTAGCCCTGCCGCGCCCCTCCTGGGCCCCGTCGCGACCCTCTAGCCCCGTCGCGACCCCCTAGGCCAGTCGCGACCCCCTGGGCCCTTCGTGCCCCTAGCCCTGCCGCGCCCCTCCTGGGCCCCGTCGCGACCCCCCCCCCCCCCCCTCGCCCTGTCGCACCCCTCTTGGGCCCTGTAGCGCCCCTCCTGGCCCCGTCGCGCCCCTCCTGGGCCCCGTAGCGCCCCTCCTGGGCCCCGTCGCGCCCCTCCTGGGCCCCGTAGCGCCCCTCCTGGGCCCCGTAGCGCCCCTCCAGGGCCCCGTCGCCCCCCTCCTGGGCCCCGTAGCGCCCCTATTGGGCCCCATAGCGCCCCTCCTGGGCCCCGTAGCGCCCCTCCTGGGCCCCGTCGCGCCCCTCCTGGGCCCCGTAGCGCCCCTACTGGGCCCCGTCGCGCCCCTCCTGGGCCTCGTAGCGACCCTCCTGGGCCCCGTCGCGCCCCTCCTGGGCCCCGTAGCGCCCCTCCTGGGCCCCGTCGCGCCCCTCCTGGGCCCCGTAGCGCCCCTACTGGGCCCCGTAGCGCCTCTCCTGGGCCCCGTAGCGCCCCTCCTGGGCCCCGTCACGCCTTCAGGCCCCGTCTCGCCCTGCCCGGCCCCGTCGCCCCGGCCCGGCCCCGTCGCACCCGCCCGGCCCTGTCGCGCCCTGCCCGGCCACGTCGCACCCGCCCGGCCCCGTCGCACCCGCCCGGCCCCGTCGCACCCGCCCGGCCCCGTCGCACCCCGCCGGCCCCGTCGCACCCGCCCGGCCCCGTTGCGCCCTGCCCGGCCCCGTCGCACCCGCCCGGCCCCGTCGCACCCGCCCGGCCCCAGTTGCGCCCTGCCCGGTCCCGTCGCGCCCTGCCTCGCCCCGCCGTGCCCTGCCTGGCCCTGCCACGCCCGCCCGGCCCAGCCGCACCGGCCCGGCCTCTGCGCTCATCCCTACCCCGGCCCTTGCATCCTCACTGGTACGGTTCCCCCCTCCCTGCACCGCCCCGCACCGCACTGCACTGCCCTGCATTGCACTGCACCGCCCTGCACTGCCCTGCACCGCCCTACATTGCACTGCACAGCACTGCACCGCCCTGCATCGCACTGCACAGTACTGCCCTGTCCTGCACTGCCCCTGATGGTGGCGGAGCTTCGGTTTGACGCTGAAGGCCAGCCTCTGGAGTTCGAGGCGTGGCTTGCCGACCTCCGACGCCAACTCACTGGCCAGCGGCAGGATGGTGAACCGCTGTCCGCACACCTTGACGGTACGCTCCCCTGCCCAGACCCCCCTGCTGTTCTGCCCGCTGACCCCACACCCACCGAGCGCGAATCTACTGCTGCCACTGCCCGTGCGCGCTCTGTCTGGCTTTCTCGCGATGCTGTCGCCCAGCTTGCCATTAGCAACGCCCTTCCCCCGTCCGAGCGCCCTCGCTTTAGGTCTCTCAGTACTGCTCAGGCTTACTTAGATGCTGTCATCAAGCGCTATTCCACCCCTCCGGCTGCCTCGGTGGGTCGCCTGATCCTCCCGATGCTCTTTCCTGACCTTGCGTCTTTCCCCACTGTCTCTGACCTCGCTGCCCACCTGCGCTCGATAGATGAGACCTGGCGCGCTGCCTGCACTGACGCACAGCTTAGAGCCCACCAGCCGCCCATTACCTCTACCCTTTACCTGCTTGCCACCCGCCTCCCTGACCGCCTTGCTGTCGCCCGCGACCGCTTCCTTAGCATTCACCCAACAGACCTCACCCTCACTGACTTTGTAGACACCCTGACTGTGATTGAGACCCGCCACCGCTCCATCGCCCAGGCGAGCGGTACCGTGCCGGTCCCTATCTTTCAGGGTTGTGCCCCCGCTCAGTGTACTTTCTCCGACGGCTCTGCCGCTGTGGCTGAGACTGCTGCTGCAGCGCAGTTTCGTTCGGGGAAGAGCCGTCGCCCCAAGGTTGGGCGCGGCGGAGGAGGCGGGGGTGCGGGAGGGGGTGGTGGTGGAGTCGGGTCGTCTGGTGCTGGAGCGGACGAGGGGACCCTGCCCAGTCCAGCTGAGCCGCCGCCCCTGCAGTCGCAGCAGCAGCAGCAGCCGCAGCAGCCGCCGCAGTCGCAGCAGCCGCCGCAGACGCGGCAGACGAGTGTCCTCCCGCCCGGGTGGCCCGGCGCTGGCGGTGGTCGGGCGCGTGGTGGTGTGCCGAGTGGTGGTTCTGGAGGCGTGCGTTGTCAGTACCAGATCCAGACCGGTCCTCGCCGCGGCTTCGTTTGCGGTAAGATCGGTCACTCCACTCCCCCCTGTTTTCGTCGCCTGGACGACCTCTTTCGTCAGCGCTTCGGCCCGTCGCCAGACCTTCCGGACTGGCACAGTTTGCTTAGTCGTAAGATTCAGATTTTTGACATGGAGATGGATGCCATTGTTTCTGCTTTGCATGTGATGTATGCTGATGACTCTAGTGTGCTTCCCGCTTATTACTCACTGTCGGCTAGTGTAGGTGTGCCTCGCTTAGCCTCCCCTGCTGCGTCAGGCGTAGGATCCCCTGCTTTGTGTAGTCTTGGTGCTTCCGACGCTGTTCCGTCGCCAGACACCTCTGCTTCGCTTTCCTTCACCTTCGACTCTGGCGCTTCCCGGTGTTTCTTCCGCGACTCCACCACCCTGACGCCGCTTCCTGTTCCTGCTGCCGTTTCGCTTGCTGACCCCTCCGGCGGTCCGGTAGTCGCCCGCAGTTCCACCACCCTTCCCTGTCCGGCGGTTCCTTCAGGCACTCTCACAGGTCTGCATATCCCCTCGTTCTCGAGGAACCTAGTTGGTGTCGGCTGCCTCCAGGACCTTGGCGTCACCACTACGTTCCCTGGCCACGAGCGGTATGCTGTCTGTACCGAGGCCGCCCCTGGTGCCCCCCTATCCACGTTCCCCCGGGACCCGGTGTCCGGCCTGTTCACTCTGGACACCGTGACCCCCCCGGCTGGAGCGCTCCCTCAGGTGGCTGCGTCTACCCAGGTTGCGGCTGCCTGCTCCTGTCGGTCCCTCACTCACCCGACTCTCCTTTGGCACCACCGCCTAGGTCACCCTGCGCTCCCGCGTCTGCGTCACATGTCCCAGCACAGTCTTGTCCTTGGTCTCCCAGGTTCTCTCCCCGCGTTTCCCTCCTCCCCAGCCCCACCTTGCACGCCTTGCGTCGAGGGTCGGCTTCGCCGTGCCCCTCACTCCTTCTCTTTTCCCCCTACCGCCGCGCCGCTGCAGACCCTGCACCTGGACGTCTGGGGCCCCGCCCCCGTCCCTGGGCCGCGTCGGGAGCGCTACTTCCTTGTGCTTGTCGACGACTTTACTCGTTACACCACAGTCTTTCCCCTGGAGCGCAAGGCCGACGTGCCTGGCGCCCTTATCCCCTGGCTTGTCTCTGCGCGTGTCCACCGCGGTCTCCCTGTCTTGCGTCTTCACTCCGACCGTGGTGGCGAGTTTGCCTCAGGTGTCCTTGGTCGCTTTTGTCGTGCGGAGGGCATCACCCAGACGTTCACCCTACCGGACTCCCCACAGCAGAATGGGATCGCTGAGCGACGCATCGGTTTGGTCATGGAGGTCGCTCGCACCTCCATGATCCATGCCGGTGCACCCCATTTTCTGTGGCCGTTCGCTGTGCGCTATGCTTCTCACCAGCTTAACTTGTGGCCGCACCCTCAGCAGCCGCGGGTTTCGCCGACCCGTCTTTGGACTGGGTCTCCAGGTGACGCGTCTGCGTTTCACGTCTGGGGCTGCCTTGCTCACGTCCGTGCCTCCGGCACGGACAAGCTCACTGCCCGCACCCTTCCCTGCGTCTTCCTCGGTTTTCCCCTTGATGCGTCCGACTGGCACTTTTACCACTCGCCGTCTCACCGCTTCTTTCACTCTCGCGACGTCACCTTTGACGAGTCCGTCTCCTTCTACCGTCGCTTCCCCCACCGCGGTCCCCCGTTTACCCCCCCCCTGTTCCTAGTCACTCCTTCCCAGGTAGTCCCTGCCCCTCCCCCTCCTCCTCCCCGTCCTGCCCCCTCTGGTGTGTCCCACGTCACCCCCCTTCCGTCGGTGGACCCGGTTGAGGAGTCTTCTGACTCTGGTGGCCCTGCTGCGCAGTCCTCGCCGGCCGCCCCTCCACCGGCGTCCCCTCCCCAGTCCCCTCCTCCACCGCCTCTGCCGCCGCTGCACCCGTCGGTGTCGCTGCCGCCGCCGCCGTCGCAGCACCCGTTCGCTGACTCTGGGGGTGCTAGTACCGGTAGCCCTGGGGGTGGTTCCTCTGGGGGTGCTGGTGTGGAGTGTGCCGGTGGTAGCCGCGGCGCAGCTTGCAGTCCCGGTGTCGCCGTTCTGCCGCCGGAGCAGCAGTCCCCGCCGATGTCCGCCCTTCGCCTGCTCGGCCTTCCGTCCCCTGACCTTGCGGCTGTTCCTCTTCCCGTCTACGTCCCTGTGTTCCCTCCGCCGGACTCGTCCCCCGCCCGTCTTCCCCCTCGTTCCCCTCCTGTGTCCCCTCCCGTGTCTCCTGACCCGACTCCTCCGT